GAGCCAATTCTTGGCCCAAAGGTGGCCTTCAGCAACCCCAGGCGAGGAAAAAGGGGTTCTTGAAGGTATCTTTGAGGGTACCTTGGTTTAAGAAGGAAGGCTAGCAAGAAAAGCAACTAGGTCCTCCAGTAGAGATGTTACAATAAGAGTACCAACTTTTTTCGGTCGTCTATTTCAGTAGGGGGAAACCCAAAAAAGAGTTGGTAAAAGGGCACTACTGGGGGACCTAGGCAACTCGGAAGCTCTCGCTTTGCCCAAGGTCTGATGGAAAACCAAGCTACGAGTTGGGTGCCCCGTGCGAGGCCGTGAGCTCTCAGCATCCGTCGCAATCAAAACCTCAAGTCCTTGCAACATTAGGACTGTCGGGTATAACCCCCGTTTGTTTTGCGTGCTCACATTGAGAAACCAACCTAAATGTGGGGTCTCAATGGAAAACTGGGTGGATTGGCCTTGCTTTGCGAGCTTTGTGATACCCTAAGTCCTCAACCACCCATCATGTTGCCACCGACTCATGTGATCCCCTCAAACTGCCCCCTTCTCATTGTCATCCAACACATGGATTCATCAACCCATCCTAATAATAAGGGCTGCTCCCCTCCAAAAGCGGTGATTGCCAACAAACCCCCGCTACTAAACTGGGGCTGGTGCATCCTGGCTTCGTTGCTGGTCCTCGAGGTTGACTGGGTTTTGATGCGAGCTCTCGGTAACCCCTCAGCTCTGAAAACATGATACTACCGTGTCCCAAAACAATGGAACTGTCAAAATCTGCCGGGGGGGGTTCCTTTGGTCCAACATGGGGCTGGTCCCCTCTTTTGGGCACATGCCCATGTGAGCCCCAAACAAAATCAATTGTTTTGCCACGAGGACATGGGGAAAATTGAGTGGCCCTGGTGGGAAATGGATCAAACGCATTCCCCTGCGCAGCCCTCCCTCCTTACGAAAAAGCATCCCCAGGCCTTGATAAACCATGCAGCCTTGCCGAGCGTTCGACGTTCGACCCCTCCAATTGAAGTGGATCGGGCTTTCCAGGACCCCCCCCCCCCCCCAGTGCGGGGGAAAAAGCAATCAGCTAGCACTGTTTGTGGAAGTTGTTTCCCCCCCCAGAAGTCAGACTGAAGTAAGTACTGGGAGTCTGAGAGTAAGTCTTGGAAACACTAGTTACTAAGCTTGGACTTGGCAATAGTAAAGTAAGTACGGCTCCATGGAATGATTCTCCCCATGGCATCGCTTGGAGAAACCCCGAGGGGTATACCACAGGAAGGGCAAAGCTTGGGAGGGGAAAACCCCGTTTGGGCGGGGGTACCCTCAGAGATGCCGCTGAATTGTTTACAACAGGATTTTTGAAGGAAGCTCACCCCAGATGCCCAGTGGCCATGGGGAAAAAATGGGCATCCTTTTTTGGTTGGTTGAGTTTAAAGGGGAACCCTTCCCCCCCCCCCCCAAAAAAAAAAAGGGCGCCACTGGGCAACTGGGTCACATTTGCAACTGGGTCACATTTATACACAGGTTTGCTCCAAAGACCCGATCTGCACGGTAGACGGACGCTCTCGGCAAGCCTGAAAAAGAAACGAAGGCAGCGCTGGGCTGGGTTCAATTGGAGGCATGCGGTATGCTTCCAACAAGCATGGAAGGGAGCACGGGGGAACATTTAACCATGGGTCAAAAGCCCGTACCCCCAGTGAACATAGCAAGCTTCGAACCTTGGACCGGGCAGGGAGCAACCCGAAGCGGTGAACCTTGGGAAGCCTGGACGAATAAGGCCCAGTCAAGAGGGGGACACTCCCCGGTTGAGTGGGGATTCATCAGTTCTTCGAACTCCCTCGATGAATTAGGACGGGTTCAATTCATCCGAATTCAGTCTGTCTTGCAGGGCACCTTTTGAGCTGTTGGGTTGAACACATGTGGCAACATCTGGCAATGGGTGATCCCTGCTCCCCTCCGGATCCTTTTTTGCTGGCTTCAGCTTGGTTGGAAGGGAAATAAAGCCGACGCCCACTTTTGGCGGCCCCGGTTTTGACACATACCCATGGGATATTTGCCCAGGCTTACTCCCTCCGTGCTTTGGGGTTCCCTCTATTTCCCCTAACATCACCCCACCACACGCGAAACTGTGCTACTGTGCCTTCAACTGGTCCACAAAGATGCTGGAAAACCACCAAAGGCGGCGAAAAAACCCAGAAAGCGCGAGCGCGCTCCTTTCGAACCCCTTACTTAGATGGTCTGGGACGAATCGCTACAGTAAATGGTTAGTAACCCTAGTTACGGGGCACTTACAACCTTTGCAAGTGGGTTACAACCAGGGTTTCTAGTCCTTTAGCTAGTTCCCAGACCATCCAAGTAGCGACTGGTCGGTTTAGAGGCGCCTCCGTGGGGTATTGCTGCGCCACGTCGAGCAGTGGGTCGGGGTGAGCTTCTGCCTGGCGACCCGAAAAATCCGCGGGCAGAGTGGACACTTCCCCTTGTGCTCGTGTCCTCCTTGTGTGGTTAAAAAAAGGATATCCTCTGCTCAATTGGTCGGCCTAAAGAGAAACACCCAGCTAAACTTCCACTGGAAAGAAGGAAGGCCCTCTTGTGGTTAAAAAAAACAACTTTGCTCAATTGGTCGGCCCAAAAAGAAAAGACGGTCAGCTAAGATTCCCAACTGGAGAGAAGGAAAGCCGCCCCCTGTGAAGGACCTTCGGTGAGCACGTTGCATCGTGGCTACCCTCAACGCCAACTTTTTAGTGCGCCAAACAGCTCAGATGCCAAGAATGAAGGTCCGAACAATGCATCTGCACATGATTTAGGGCTTCCAAAACATAAGACTCCCTTCCAAACCCCCCAGTGGCCATAATTAGGAGCACTTGTGTTTGGTAGTTGATTTAGGTAAATTGGAAACCACTCCAGGTCTGGGCCCGCAACTCTTGCAACACTGGCTTGCCCCTGCCTCAAAAAATCACACCATATAACAAAACAAGTCTACAGGCCTTGGTTTGGAAATTGCTTGGAAAGTTGAGATTGGGGTCAAGCTTTTTTTGGTAGGGGAAAGCTGGTAGTTGGTTGGAGGGCGTTGGTTTGGACAGCTTTTTCTCAACGATTGGGGTCAAGCTCCACCGGCTTCTCGAGGATGTCACTGAACCAACTTGGGCATGTCCCAGTCGAAAAAAAGTGATGCAATTTCGGGATCCACACCTTCAAATCAGGAGGGCATTTGCTGCGAGATCAAGTTGGTTAGACAGGGCTCCCGAGTTATTTCCCCTGAAAAAACATCACCTTCAGGGACGCTCATCTTTCATATGCCAAAAGGGTGATGTTTAAAACCACCAACAAGGGACATAATATAGGGAGCCCTGTTAGAACTCCGGCGGTTGATTGTTGCAGAACCAACCCGGTTCATGTAGTCAAAACACTTCCTTAAGTTGAAAAGATGGCGATTGAAAGATGCTTTATAGTCCCAAACGGTCAAGAAAGGATCCACAGCAAGCTGGACCAGCGGAAACTACCCGTACAAAGCTGCTAATTCATTGAAGCCCAGCAAGGGTTTGAGACGCCGTAAACCCAGGAGACGCAGCATTCAGGTTATTTTTCAGAATTCAATTCGGCCATAGACCCCCGGCAAAGACCACATTTCCACTTGGGATGCCACATCTTCCCCTGGCGCACCGGAACAAACAAAAACGGATCTCCCACCTCTCGTCCGGTCCCATCGAAGAAGGACAAGACGTGTCTCTGCACAGAACGCACTGCTCTGCGCAGGGCCGGCGGCATCCTTTAGACGCCTAGAGCGGTCAATGACCGTTTCGTGGCCCCTGAGGAGCCACGGGTCAAAACCCAAATCGTACCCCCAGTGAACATCCCAATCCAACCACTGAAATAGGTTCCAAAATGGGTGGTGCACCTATCCCAAAATGGGATCCCATTGGTTTTGAACCATGGCCAAATGGCAAAAGCTGGATGTATAAGAGGTAGGTAGGTATGGGAATTTCGGGTGCGCCCCGTCATGTTGAGCGATGCTCAATGTCTTGCATCAAACTTTTGCACCATGGTCTTCTAATGATTTAGTGTCTCTGAGTTTCTTTCTCTGTGGCTATGCGCGAGCCCGTGCATGCGAGCCAAGTCGGTGCGAGTCTGCGTTGCTCATGAAACATCTGCATGTTCGCTTCGAAGCAATGCACATCATCGGCTCCAGAGCTACTGCCGAAGCTGACCTGCGAGCCTAGGTGCGGCAGTCGCGATGGGCAGTGCATGTTGATTGTGCTCCCATCCTGCAAGGGTTGGGCCTTAAACTCATTTGGCCATGGGTCAAAATCCCGTACCCCCAGTGAACATCCCAATCCCCACTAAAATAGACTCAAATGGATGGTGCACCTACCCCAAAATGGTACCATTGGTTTTGACCCACAGCCATTTGGGTTGCTCTTTTTAGGGAACTGGGCTGGCAGTTTCGACGTTTGCCCACCTGCAACACAAGCTATTCACTCCATCTCCCATTGATCGAATCGTGCAGCCACGGCTCAAAGTACAGCAAAGTGTGGCCGCGTGCGGTGGCCGCGCCCCAAATAACGGGCGGGGAACTCGGCACTCGCAAATCACAAGGGTGTCGCGCTTGGAGGCTGGTGCACTTGCCGTAACTAGGTCCTCCAGTAGAGAGGTTAGTATAAGGGTACCAGCTTTTTTCGGTCGTCTATTTTAGTAGGGGAAACCCTCCCTCAAAAAGGGGAGAGAAAGGGCACTACTGGCGGACCTAGTTAAGGGACAATTAATGATTGCCACACCCACCGCAAATCAAGTTTGCAGCAAGGGCTCGAACCATTTCGGAGGTCCCCAACAATTGCATCAACTTGCTGGTGGTCAGCTCAGATGCACAATCAACAAACCCAAACAAACAATTTCTAGAAAGGAACCGCCAAACTTGGAAACACTGCCAACATGTGGATGACAGTCCGTTTGTGGTAACCAACGGGACCCACCCTTACGCCAAGAGGATAGGAACATCAACTTGGCCGACCCCTCGAGCGCGCCTGAGTGGCTCCGCCTGCGCGTTTCGGCTTTCGGATCCGGATGGGTTTGGAGGGAAACCAAAACTGGGCTGCCCGATTTCAGCTCCCCCGCCTAAAGTGACTAACTTTTGGTGGGTTAAATAGAAACTACCACTAAACACTAAAAGGCTAAAAAGCTAAGGGGATGACTGGGAGCCACCAAGAAAAGACACACAAACAGTGTTAGGGTCCCCTTGTTCGACGCATACCCGTGTGGGTGTCTTGGTACCCATTTGGAACCATTTAAAGGAACACCACCGCGCGGAGCCCTTGGACGGCTTCTCACAGTGCAGCAGAGCCACTTGCGCAGAGTCATTTGCAAAGAGCCAGCTGCACAGCGCAATCTGCACAGAGCTAACTTGCACAAAACTACTTGCACAGAGCCATCTGCACAGAGCTACTTGAACTTGCACAGAGCCATCTGCACAGAGGCGGGTAGTCTGGGAATAGTCTGGGTATAGTTTGGGCACGATAGTCTGGGCATGCGTAGTGTGGGTATAGTCTGGTTTTGAACATTCTGCTTATAAAAGGGGGGGGGCGGGTAAAGAGCTTGGGGTGTGAAAGGTTGGGTACCTTGGGTCGAGTTCTTGGGTAGAGAGCTAGCGTACAGGCTCAGCGCCTACAAAAATAACCCCAAAGATCCAAAATTGTTTCTGGACAAGTCAGACGCCTATCCCATTGGAGTCTCCATGACCTAAATTGGCTTGCTCGCTGACAGCCACTTTGAAGACCATCTCCAGCTCTACCAATCGAAACGCTCTCTCCGGACCCTTCGAATGGCGAGGAATGAATTCTTGAGACACGCGGGGCTGGGCATAAAAACAACCAGACCCGATTCAGCCGGATCAAACAGAAACCGACAAATGGCAGTCTGGCTCAAACATGTTGCAGTTGAACTGCAACTAACCCTGGTTGCAACCTCCGGAAATCTGGGTTGGAAAGAGACGTTGTTGAAACAGTAGATGGTTCAAGGAATATTTAAGCAACCATTGCTTGACCAGCCTTCTTCTGGTGAGCCTTCTTAAGGCAGGGCTTGCTTAACAAATCTAAGATCCCATCTCAACCACTACCCAAGCGAACGCCATATACTGGATTTGTCCAGTGGTTGTATTCTCTTTGTTCCCGTGGGTCTTGGTAGCTTCGGCTTGGGGGTAGTGGAAATCATCTTGGATATGCGTCTTTGTTGGCTGGAAATCATCCTCTTAGATACCCGTGGAATGGGGACTACCCTATGGGCAAGTGGCTAATGGCAACGCAGCGCTAAGGATCATAAACCTTTCAATTGGTACTTGGATGGTCTGGGAGTTGGCTAAAGGACTAGTAACCCTGGTTGTAACCCACTTGCAATGGTTGTAAGTCCCCTGCAACTAGGGATACTAACCATTTAGCAAAGTCCCAGACCATCTAAGTACACTTCTGGTCTGCAAGCCATGCACAGCACGTAAAGCAACAGCTGCTTCATCACTGTTGCGCGTCGTCCAACCGCCCGCATGCTTGGACCCTCCATTGAACAAGGGGTCTTAGGGAACCTCCAATGGCTTTGGTCTTCAACATGCAATATGGTGCGAACGGCGCACTACAAAGGGTCTTGAGCCAAACAAGTACTCGTAAGTCAACAATGTGTTGGGCAATTATTGCCATAAATCTCATGATTCCTCCCTGCGGGAAGAGTGTCACTGTCTCCACTACGCAAGTCTGGCCAGAGACTGTCCAACAACTGAAGCTGACCCTTGCTTCGCTCCGTTAAAATAGTATGTTCACACCTACGCATCGTTTCAGACATCTGTACACCTGGAATGCTCCTTGGAAAGAGCGGCAGCCCTGTTGGTCTGCCCAGGAACGTGCTCTGCTTTCAGGTGGGTTGTTATTCAAAGGAACTCTCCAAACCAATGTTGAAAACAGGGAGCAACTGACTGGGGGTCTGGGTCCGGCTTTGGCTCGCGTTCGAAGTGGTCGAAAGCCATCCCTCGACGGACGCAGCCGGCCATCGATGCGCCGCATTTGCAGCAGTACTCGTCCTCTGCCGCGTTCCTCGCTGTGCGACGAAGATCCCAAACGCGCTGTCTGCGCGTTGTCAGAGGTCCGGTTAACGTGTGGAATTCCAAAGAAGGGGGATTCGATCTGAAGGAATGGTTTGTGTTGCTGGCTGTGCAGATTTCTAGCAAGGCAAACAACGAATCCCAAGGCCAAAGGTTAAAGAGTCGGTTACAGGCATTCTTGGAGGGTTCAAGGTCAAACCAACGAGGAACCGTGTTGGTGTTTGAAAGCCCGCAAAAGTACACCGTGACACGAGCGGGGCTCTGGGCCCCTCAGTACGGGACACAGGGAAGGAGGGTTGGGGGCGGTTGCTACTTCTCTGAGACCTTGTCCAGAAAAAAAGGGTTCCCAACCTAGCTCCCTCAAGGGCCACTCCTTTGCCTAGCGCTTTTTTTGACCTGCTGAGTTGCCTGGTCAAACAAACATGTCACTTGCAGAATCCAGCTGAGCCCACGTGCGCAAAAAACAAGCCAGCCCTGAAGCAAACCCTCCATTTGCGGATACGTCCCCTGGAGAAAAATGAAAACAGGGGAAATTAAACGTGTTCTTAAGCAATGGAAGAAGCCTGCAGGATACCAAGAACGTCACAAAACCTGCGACCAGAAAGGCGCAATCGCTTTGGGGATAAGCAACCTTCTGCCACTCACAGTTTGGCAAATCCCTTGCCGGGTGTGCCCCTTTTCCGGCTGCACACTCGTTCGCATAGATCCTCCTTGCAGGCTCGAAAGAGGGCTTTTCGCTCGGCCTGCTTTGCCTTCGAAGCTCCCACAGCGGCTGGTAAGTGGCATGTCTCAAATGTGGGGAACCTTGAGGTTGGTCTCCTTTCGGCTTCCTTTTCAAGCCAAAGGGGGGCTCCAACGAGCCACTTCCGTGTCTCCAAAGGAGCTGGTAGATACCTAGGGTGGTATCTAAACAAAAATGGCTGAGATGCCAAGATGCCGTTGCCAAGCGCGGCCAGTGTACATTCAAATGCGCATAATGTGATGAAAGGTAGGGTTTATGTTTGCCAAGGCTTCTGCGAAGACGAACTTATGCACTAATTTAATTGAAGGGAATCTCAGGCAAATAGGCCAAAGACTTTTAAGATTGCCTAATAAGAACCAGCAACTTTGCCAACGCAACATTGATCCCGGGTCGCAACCCGGACATCCGCCGGGCATCGCGATCGGTCAGCGTTCTCGCTTTGTCCCATGGTTGTGGACAATTTCATAATTTCTATACTGAAGAATGCCATCTGCAGCGCTTGATCGAAGGGGGGTACCTTGGCACAGAAATGGGTCCTAAAACCCCGTTTCCCCAAACCAGTGGGTTCTACCAAAATGCTTACAGGTTATACGGTTCTTTGCTTGGCCTTGCTGTCTTCATGAAACCAAGAAGTAGAACCAGCTACTAAAGTTCCCAACGCTTTAGCTCTGCGGGGTACTCTTTTTTCTTGTCTACCTAATCCACCCAATGTTAATTTGTTTTTGAGACCCAACGGTTCTTTCAGTATGTTTAGTCTACCTGGCTTTGACTCACATAATTGTACCAAAATGGCACCTTGGCAAATAGAGCCAAGGACAAAAAATACACGTGCGCAACCCTTGCTCTTGAATTTTGAGCCACACCCACCTAGTCCACCCAATAGAAATCAGTTCTGGAGACGCCATCTCGGGCTTTCTCCCCGTTTGGTCGGATTCGGGGCCCCGGGGCCCCGCGCTGCGCCCCGCAGCTGGCGCAGGTGGCTTTCTCCGCGCGCAGGCCATGCGGCCGCTCCGCCTGAACTTCAGCGCCCAGTTTGGCGAGGGAGCCGTGTCCCACGTTTTCTGCGGAGACTTGGCTCGGGTGTCCGAGAAAGCCAGGGCTCTCCTTGGATTTATTTGTCTTTTTGGGGTGGGGGGGCGTCTTTCTAGGGGTGCCTGCCATTTCCATTCTGAACCCAGGCATCCTTCTTTCCAAAAACCTCCCATAACGTTAGGAAACAGCGATCCGGTTGTTGAAAAGAACGATGGCTGAAAAGAATGCGGAATCAACCCCTAGACTTTTTGGAGGCTTTTCCAGGTTGGGTTTGAAGGGACGAGCGGCAAAATCCACCGAAGCCCGATTTTGGAGACCCCCTATGCACATCCGAGCAAATTACAAACTGGGGGTCTGCGGGGCTCCCGGTCAAACCCCAAGGTGGGCGGGGGGACTTCAACCCAACAAAAAAAAAGGCTTCTTCAACGAGGCTCATGCGCCCTGCCCCGTTCCCCCCCGCCCCCCCGGTCAAAAAACTCCCCCCCCCCCCAAAAGAAAAACAAGAAACGCCCCATTTGGCAGCCGGTCACAACTTCGCTGCCTCGAAGTGAACCTGGCAGGGCCCATGTCCTGGCACAGGAACTGGAGAAAATTGTGAGAGACACTTGGCTTTGGGCGAACTGCCGAAAGCAGGGTTCAAGAAACATGTCATGGGGGAGCTGAGTATGGTCCCACGGCTACGGGAACACCTGAGTATGGCCCAAATAAATCCGAAGTTCTCATTAAAGTCAGGGAAAATGACTAGTCCGAATTCCATTCATGGGCAAACAACTTGCAAAGAGGTGCAACAGTGTCAAAGCGAAACCAAACCACCCCTTCTGGGAAAAGAGGCCCGCGCATTGGATTTTCCGCTATGAGGTCTCTGCCCAAATAGGCTCTGGGGTGGTTTGCTAGCTTTTTGGGAGGGTTCCGGAGCAGGTTACGGGGCTGTTGGGGATACCACCGTCCTTATTTGGTGTGCGCAAAGGTAAGAACAGGTCAATGTATCCGGAAGGGTCGGTACGCCCCTCCCTTCATACATTTATTGCGGCATGGGGGATGACCAAAACAAAACCCACAAGGCAACAAACTTTTTGGAGGCCACATGAGTCCTGAGGAACAAGGCGCCTTTTTTTACACATGTCACCTTTCCCCTGGGGTGATTTGGTTTGGTGGTTGGGACGTTCGGGGGGTGCCATGCCCAAAGGGGGCTTCAAAAAACACAGCTGGGCTTCAAACTCCCAACCGGTCATCAAACCGCCAAAGAACCACCACAAAGCACAGATTTCGCACGCCAAGAATAGAGTTGACGTCTCAACCAGGTAGCTTGGCTGGAATTAGGACCCCAGCCAAAAAAGGCATGTTTTGCCTGGTTCGTGGAAAAAAAAGGGGACCCCCAAAAAGCAAAAAAAGGAAACGGGGGGGAGCTGTCATCTGGTTGGAAGGTAGGAAATAGGAACCGATCGGCCCATCGGATCGGGATGTGATGGTCTCAAAAAGACGACGAGGATAAACGAGGGGTGGAGAATCATTCGAAGAATTCTCCACGTGCCCGCAAGAAAGGAGGCACTTTTCAGGGGGGGTTCTAAAAATAGGAGCTTTTTGAAAAAGAAAAGGATCCAAAAGCAAACTAAGACCATAGTAAGACAGCAAGATCAACTGGTGAAAAGGGATTCAGCGAATCCCAGCTCTTGAATCTTGCAATCACAAAAATCAAAATACGCCGTCGTTGACTTGCTGATTGCAAGCATGGACATGGGGCCGGTTTTTTGAAACATGGACATGCCCACTGAAGCTGCCTTCAGTTCCACCAATCAATTTGCCAAGCCTTGCATCTCCCTTTCTGAAACCTAAACAAAATCTAGGCAGGACACCACCCACATACGGCCAAACTTAGACCCCCAAACACCTGGAGCTTTTTTGCAGGTAAGGGCACATGAAGGAAACTCTACATGCCCTGTGCGGGCGAAGGGCCCTTAAAGGTCTGGCGCAAGCTCTGGCAAAACAATATGAACTCACTTGCGTTAAACCGTTTGGGACCTTACAAAAAATGGGCCAAAATGGGAAAACCAAACTTTCTCAAAAGGTCGGCTTTGGGCCAGTGAGTGAATTGTCCCCCTTAAAAATACCGGATGTTGGCTGGGTCATCTTCATCGCCCAAGGCTATTTCGGGGCCCCATGTCATCCGTCCTGTCGGCTCGGCCTTGGGCGGGTTGGGCATGGATGGCACCTGGTCGCGTGGTCAGAAGGATTCCCGAAGTCAGTGACTCCACCTACCCGTATTGCCAAAAGAACCTCAATCAAAATGGAACATGGCGAAGGGTCACTTGCTCTAGTGGTTTTTTGCACATTGACATGGAAACGAAAAGGGGGTCCCACTAAAGGAGGTTCCTCTCTGAAGAATGTGGTTCTTGGGCTCCAGGTTAATCCGTGGGTGCAGCTGGGATCGACTGGGTAAGTGAACCATGGAAAGCTACTGCGGGGGATTCCCTTGTTCCCTGCTATGCTCCTGGAATCAGTCGTAGGTTGCCAAAACTTCAGGGTCTCGAACTAGGGAACCCTCTTTCTGAATCGTCAGAAAAACAAATGTCAGTAATAATAAGGCAGCAAAAAACCCTTCAGGGTTTGCAAGGCAATCGTCAGAAACAAAAAATGAAAGAGCCAGCCAAGAACCCCTCCTCTTCCTTTCCGAGCCTGGGTCTTTCCGACCCTGGGCTCGACACGTTTTGGGCTCCGGGCCATGTTAAACTAAACGCCGGCCCTTCACCAGACGCAAAGGAACCAAGCAGCATCCACACTTCCAGCACAACATGATAAAAACAACTCCTCATGTCATTCATTGGTGGATCCTTTTGTAGGGACCCTTGTTGTCATCTAAATCCCTGTGTCGACGATCACGATGCGCGCAAAACCTTTGATTTTGCTCCCCATCACGTTTTACGTCCCCAGGGCCAACTTTAAAAAGGGTGCCCTTGAACAAACCGCCCATCAGCTTCAAAAAGCTTCTCACACCGCTGTTTATTTGTTATTTTTACATCAGATGGAGATGCTATTTGCCATTCTCTTCTAGATCTTGTCTGAATCATATCCCAAGGTCTTGCGATGACCCAAATACCACCTCCCGGTCCCAAGGACCCCGGCAGCCACCTTTTCTCGCTCCAGAGTCAGAGTCTTTGTGCATATAACGACGTCAGATGCTCAAAGAGCTGGGCCCTTTTCGGACAGGCCCTTCCAAAGGCGCTGAATGTCACTAGGCGGGAGGGCCCCGGGGTCCCAGCTTTTGACCACCTGACATCGACGGTCACGCCCAGCTGCACGCCCAGCTGGGCGAGACCTTCGCAAAACTGGGGCCTGGTGGTCAAACAACAAACAACTCTCATGGTTGGCCTTTAAGAAAATGGAAACAAGGGGCGCACTGTTTCCAAGTGGGGGCAACATCGCCACCTCCCTGGCCGCGACCTTCAAAAGCGCGAGCCGGGGCCAAAAACTTTGATTCCTTGCGGAGCACAATCCAGTCCCAACCTACGAAAAGGGCGTGTCTTGACATAAGAAACAACAACGTTTTTTGTTGTTGTTGGCTGTTTTTCTGCAATCTAATGTACTATGTGTACTATAGATCAACAGCTTTTTAGGGGGTTGGTTTCGTTTTGGTTTCTTGAAGCATTCCAAGGAAGAGGGCTCCCTCCAAAAGAACAACTCGCTTTGGCGATCGACGGACTCAGGGTGTGCCGAAGCATCCGATCAGCAGCACACCGACCTGGCGCAACAGAAATGTGTGTGTGTGTGTGTGGCCTCTTGAGGGTGCTCTTAGCCTTGCTTCAAAACCAAGCAATCACAAGCAGGTGGGAGATCCCTCAACTTTTGCAAAAAAGCCAATATGACTGTTTGTGCTGTGTTTTGTGGGTATGGTTGGCTAGGGAAACCACAAGACAAACAACCTTTATTGGGTCCCCCTATTTTGGCACATGCCCACATGCTGTTTTGAACCACTTGTATGATGAACCACAAGCGATCACTTGCGAAGCGTCTTCAAACCACACGTGTTGTTGAAACATTGGCTTTACCACTGATGCATTGTTTGAACCAACTTTGCTTCCTCCCAATGTCTTGGCAAGAATTGCCCTGTTCAATATCTGAAAATAACAGATCCCCAGTCTCAGACCCAACCCAGGAAACCAACAGGTCATAACGAACGTGTCCAGGAAAGTAACGCAAAGCAATGACGCAGGGGCGTGTACACCAGGATCAAAGTATATAGACGGCACTATTTGATGATAGAGCCCAAGTGAAGCGGGGTTCTGCCATCTACTTCCAACTGCGCTGAACAATAGGCCGGCTTGCTTTCCCTGAAGAGCGCATTCTCAAATTCAAATGCAAGCCCAGCTCCCATCCTGCCCAATGGCGAGAATAAAAAATCCGAGCCGCAAGTTGCAACAAAAAGGCGCCAGTGTAGATCAGCAGACTCTTCTTTCCGGTGATCTCCCGGAACCTAAGGTCGTCTTCACTTGGTTGACGTTGGAAGGGGAGCAACAATTGCAAAATTTTAGCAGTTAAGTGGTTGGATTTCAACCACTAAACCACAATAAGCAAAAAGGTGTCCAATGTTTCCCAACAACAACCATGTTCAGCGTTACGCTTTTTCCTTGAAAACACCTTGCGCCACTGGAGGTCTGGCTTTCACCCACAAAAGCAAGCGCGATGCAAGGATCGATTTCACCCGTGAAATACTGAAAGCACAAACCTCCGACCCCCGAAACTGTTTGCGCAAACGAGTCGCTCGGACTGGTTTGTGTATGTGTTTGTGTCATGCAAAGCTAATCAATGTGTGACTCCTCACTCCGATTTTTACATGAACCCCTGAACAAACACATGCTGGAATCTCCTGGTGGGACCGTTTTGGGTTCCATGCTAAATCGAGTAACTTCCAAAGGTGTACCTCGGAAACTCCAGGGCAGAAGACTGCTTCGATGTAAGCGAGTTGGACTGAAAGAAGAACCATCGCGCGGAAGAAATAGGCTTGAACCAGCCAAATGAAACCAAGCATTTGGAGGGGTTGTATTTGGAAGCTCCACTCCCATTTGGGAGTCTGAGGCATGGTACGCTGTTTTGAGGTTGACTTGTGAAAGGAACCCAAAGGAAGACTCGGTTGCTTTCTGCTCCCCTGCTGAAAGTTTAACTTTTAGTGGTTTAATGGAAAAATGATTAGTTGGCGAAAAGTTAAAGTCCTAACATCCCTTGGCAAAATGCACCAAAGAAAACACTTGACATGTGTTTCCCGAGCTGAGAGCTGTGGGGTCAACAGGCATAACAAGGTCGGGGGCTCCGGGCACCTGTACGGGGGGTGGGGAGGGTTCGGAGAGCTGAATTCTTAGACCTGCAGTGGCCATGGGAAAAAAAAACGGGGCATCTGTTTGTCGCCGATTGTAAAGGGGTTCTCCCTTACCAAAAAAAAACAAAACAATGGGACAACACCACTGGAGGTCTTCTATCTGGCGTTTCGGATTTCCCACCAAGGGACCAACCGTTTGCTAGAATGCTGGGATGCCATGACCATATTGCTAAACTTCCCCCGCACAAAGAAAAGCACGAAAACAAAATTTGGTGACCGGAACACTGAACTTCTCGTGGAGCCCATCGACGTGCATTCCCTCACTGGCACCCCCTATGCTGTTCCCTGTTGTTGGGTTTGAAGCTCACATGGTGAGGCCTGTGACTTTTAATTTGATGGACTACCATGTCCGTACATGACTCCTGGTAGCTCCTGAGCTCCCTCTTTAAAAGACAAAGTTGGATACCCTCGCTCCTTAGCTCCCCTCCAACCAGCTAGTGGAACCGCTCAAACAACCTAGCGAAGCAAACTTTCGTTCAGAAGCATCGAGGTCTGAGTTTGGGAGCCGGCAAAGCCTAAAACATGGCCTCAGGACCAGGAAGCTGAATTCCACCACCTGAGGCGCCGGCACAAAAACGCTCAGCAGGCTGGACACCAAGATGGGCCCCACAGCATCCAAGGTGTAACCCACCGAGTAGCCCAAATATTTGATGCCTCGAGCTGAGCGAAGCGAGATACCCAAGGCGCCCCAAACTGGAGCCGTTTAAAACCCGGGGGGGCGGGCTTGTTGGGTTGTTCCCTTGTCAAACACGCCAACTACATTGAATCATATCAATTGCCAGTCTTTGTTTGAGGCCAGCAAAGTTTTCCTGGGGCTGGAAACCAGGCAAACCAGTCCCAAGAAACGCCCAGATCAGAGACGGATCCGTCGGACTATATTCCGTGGTCCCCAGTAGGACAAAGGGGAAAATGGGTAGATAGGCGAAATCTGGGTGGAACCCCCCTTCTCCTCCTCCTACACAACTGGGTCCTCTAGTAGAGAAGTTAGAATAAGGGTACCCTTTTTTCTGTAATCTGTTTTAGTAGGGGAAACCTCCCCCAAAAAAGGGTAAAAGGGCACCAATTACTGGGGGACCTACACAAACAAGAGCTAACAATAGGATGCCTTTCGTTGCTAGGCACATAGACCACATCTCATCCGCTTGCACAGCGGGTTGCCAGACAATCCACCTCCCAAGGCGAAAGAAGACAGGCGAAAAGCACTTTGCTTGCACATAATCTTCCATTTGGTTAAGATCCCTGGAAAAAAAAAATCCAGTAGTGATAGATTCTCTTCAAAACCAACAGGGAAAAATAAAGACCATTCTTAAGCAAATGGAAGTAGTTCGGTGATAAGGAAACACCAGAAACATGCACAGCACCGAGCAAGTCATCTGCACTTGTAGCATTGGCCTTGTAAGTTACGTGCAAAGCGCCATGCCTTCATCAGACCGTGGGCAGTGACGGTGTCTCTGGACAAGGTTTGCATGCACTCTCACTTCGCAAGCTGAGCAAATCAGTGCACTCTCCAAAAGAGCCGGCGCATGATAGTTGAGCGCATTTGCAGCAATCGCATCTTCATCTGTTTTCATAGCAACTTTTACCTCGTAGAATCCATGAAGGGGGTGCAGTTGCGTTCATTGCCTGGCCCCACCCTCCATACCTCGGCAGAAAGTTACCGCCGGAAAAAGGCAGGCTGAAAGGCGGTATGGGTTTGGGGCACAAATTGGGGTGGCGCCACCCCCCATTTGTTGGTGGTTTCGAGTGGTTTCGATGTGTGTTTGGTGGTACCACCCCGTAACCACCAAACCTCCAAACCGCCAGTTAGAGGGAAGCTGAATGTTGCTCAAGGGAAACCTAAAATTGAGGATGCGTTGGCAATTGCTTCTACTTGGGCGACAACACATCGCTTGCGACGTCACTGGAAGGGCTTGCGACTTCGCAAGCCGTTCACGAATCCCTTTCGGGTTGGTGAATTATTACCTAGACTCTCCATGACCCTTAAAAAATGGGTCCATGACCACATTATATTGGGCAATGACCAACCATTTTTAAGGGTCATGGAGACTCCAGGTAGAGCTTGTCCCAGTTCTATGCTTTTGGGCAGACCCGCCAAGTTTCGAACACGGGCTCGGGGAAAGAAGAAAAAAAAACATCCGGGCCACAGGCTCCGGGCAAGCGCTTTGCTTTTGTTTAGCGCTTGGCTCACCTCAAAAGAGCGACCAAACCTTGAAGAATGGTGTGGTGACGCCAAGTGCAGCCTTGGTTTGGTTTGGTTTGGCTTGGTCATGAACGTGCTTTTTTGTTTAGCATCTTTTCACCAACCGTTTGTTGGTTTGGGCAGAAACATGTTTTTGCTTGTTTAAGCCTCTTGTCAACAACCGTTTGTTTAGTGAATCCTGGAAGGCATTAAACATTCCCGCGCGTTCAGGCGAGCAAAAACCGGTCCAAATTCCACTGGATGCCAGGCACCGCTTTAGCCAGGACCCGTTCTGGAAACAGGGGAGAACCGTGTTGAACAATCCCATAACAAATCAACATTAGCGGGTAGTTCATCAATAAGCTCAAGGTTCATACCAGGGGTGTTCATGGATTCAGATGGGTTCATACGATGCACTTACAGTATTATTGGCGGTAGCGCGGTTTCAACTAATTTCCAGCTTGCAATGAGGGACTATGCCTCAATCATCAGGAAGTGGGACTATTTTGAGTGACAAGGTCACGGCACATGGTCAAGTGATGGATCGGGTGAACGTAGTGTGCACTGTCTTCAACATCATGGTTGAGCAAAGGCCAAAAGGCGGGTCGTGTACTATGACGCCTAGATAATGTTGACCCCGGATTAATAAACCCCGGTTTATTAATATGGGGGTGTTCCCCTCCAAAAGTGATGAATCCCCGCTAAAACCGGGGACACCCCCATATTAATAAACCGGGAACATTACTCACATTTCATACCAACCCTTTCACCCTGAAGCTCTCACAAAGCTGCAGGAAAGGGAGAGAACCGCGTCACCGATCGAATTTGGAGGGCACAACACAGGATTCAAGACAGGCCTGTTGCCGGAATATCAGTGCTTGCGAAATCGATGTGGTGGCTCAGGCCCAGTTATAGAATGCATATTCTATTGTTTGCTTCACTTTGAGTCACTGGTAAAGTGTAAAATGTATCCTAAGTCTACCCCAGCGATCTTCAGCAACGACACAGTCTTAAAGCGAATCAACCGAGAAGCCCTGCATCATGCAGGCGAAGCCCACACCCCAGATGCAGCCGCTGACGTAGGCTGGGCCGATGACCGACTTTTGCAGCTTCACCTCTCGGGAGCGACGCAAAAGGAACATTCCAAACGCTGAAGAAGACTGGGCCCCTCCAAGTGGTGGCACTTTCACTATCAAACCTCCTATTTGACTCAGACGGTGACTAGGTCCTCCGGTAGCGAGGTTCGGATGAGGGTACCCCTTTGTCTGTAGTCCATTGTAGGCTAGGCTCCCCCTTAGGCAGGCTGGCCGACTTTGGGGCCGACAATTTCGGCCTAATAGAAACGGGCGCATCGGGCAACTCGAGCCCTCCCCCCCTGAGGAGTTCACCGGAACCCCAGCCAGAAGTCGGCCTGGGGAATCCCGCTCGATTTTGGGAAGGTGGTCCTAGCCTGCTCGTCGTTCGTGTCTTGCCAGATGTTGCTTTTAGCAAACCAAATGGAACCTCCCGGGCCCTGCCCAATTTCTGGGGAATTCACCCCATTTTGAGACCAGCCCATCTAATCTTCTCCAAAATCGACACTGAAAAGCGTAGCGTGGCCTTGGAAAGGGAGAACAAAAGGAAAGCCAAACCACAGTTTTCCGTTGCCGTTTAGGTCTTCTCGAGACCCCTCCAGCAGGTTGAATTCATGCTGGTTTCCAGCTTATATCTATCGCCAAAGCGTCCAATTTAGGGTTGTGGGAATCGCTTTTCCACAACTTTAAGTTTGGGGAACCCTAAACGGATTCTAGATGCTACTCTACGCGTTGTCCTTCAAGCTGGATCCCCTTTAGAACCTTTTCAGGGTCCCCTGAGTGGTGATGAGCCTTCCCAATCACTTCACTTGCAGTGGGGGTTCGCTGGTATCGAAGTGGTTGAACAACCGCCCCCCGAATTCCGACGCTACCGCTTCGTCAAGCGCCTCTGTTTCTGTACTTGAGCGGAACGCAATTCACCATGCTGCCGGTTGCCCTTGCTGAAAACCGATCAAAACCCAGACATCGATCTGCTGTGGACAAACGCCATCATTTGCGCCGCACAATCACTGGATGTAATATAGAATGCCTGGGGTGGGTTTCAGCTGCTGTTGTTTCTCTCACGCTTCCCTGAATGGCTCATTGCAAGCAGCCACTAGCCTTGGACCCCATATTGGCATACATGTCCACATCCACGTTCTATTTTGTCAACAACATGTTACATGAAGTTACATGTATCCCCCTCTCAGTTTTGACCATGGCTCACGCGCTCCGGAGGGACATGCCAAACGTCATGAATCAACACGGGCATATTAATCAGTTGGATCCCTCCAAACAACCTCTTGGACCCACATCAGCCATGGTCAATAGTCATTGCGTCCCCCCACATGCAATTTCGTTGAGCGACACTTGCATCATAAAATTTCGGCCCAGGTCATCCCTTTTACTACCGTTGATGACCGCACAGCTTGACCATTCACATGACCCACAGGGGCCCAGCTCATTTTGAGTCACCTCAGCCCAATCCAAGGTCAATGACCATTTTGCGCCGGGCAGCCCCTCGCACCACTGCGAGGCTGGAATAGATGATCAAAATGACGCCTTGGGCCAGTGACGACATCTAAGAATTTGACTTGGAGGTGGGCCCAAACCAACAACACGTGAAAAAACAACAAACAAAAAAACAAGGTGATCGACATGGGGAAGTATGACATCTAATTTGAGTCCATCTGAGCGGTCAACACAAGTTCCCCCAACGAGGGCGTGGGGAAATCGGACATCGTCGCCTGGCGGCTTGGGTGAGATGGATTCCTGACCTCTGAAAGCGCCGCGTTTTGGAGGATGTCAAAAAGGGACCAACAAAATTTGACCACCCCCAGTTAAAAGCTATGTGCACTGGTCTGATCCTGATATCCCTTAAACCAGCCGCTAAAAGGGGCAATTCAAGTGGGGCTATGCGAGGGCTTCTTCCAGTCAACGTGGGACTTGTGAGTTACTTCGCAACTTCCAAGAAGTTGACTGCCATGCCACGCCGCCCCTTTTAGCTGGTGATGGTTGGGGGTTGCAAATCTTTACGGGCTGCGCAGCCTCCCAACCTGTCTCACGCATCACTCTCTCTCAGGTTCCTTCCTATAGTGGTTGAAAGCCAAGCAAAAACAATCAGACTTAAAAAGGGTCTGGAGACTGGGGTCAGGAGCCCGTAGCCAACTTAGCCCGCGAAGCATACCACGCGCTTGCCCAACATGCGGTTGGGTCACTATCCTCACCCTTCCTATCTTCACTTAGTTGGCTGGAGGGCCGAAGCGACATTAAACAGACCGTCAAATAACAAGGCGCTAAAGGTTTTGGAGCCACTCGGCATTGCACCCATGAGAAATAGCACAACGTCCGAAAACGGAACACGCCAAACACCCTGTAGAAAAGTTGGCAATCCTGGGAGCTTTCGTTGACGGAACTTGCTTTTCGTTTCTTGCTGTCTTTTTTTTGGGGGGGGGTTCTTAGCGAAGGCGCCCCTCCACCAAGCCCAATCGGACTACTAAGCCGCCACCTATTTCTAAACTTCATCTGCCCAGGTTTGAGCGTTCCTCAACAATAGTACCTTCTCAAACAGTTTCCACCAGCCTCGCTACACAAGGACAAAATGGCTACATACCTTTGTGTACTCTTGGCTGTCGCTTGCGTCCCAGGCACTTGAGCACACCCAAATCCCGAAGCATTGCGGCCTGGCCAAAAACAGCGGCGGAATGTGGGAATTCACATCGGTGTGTGTCTGTGTGTGTGCTACACTTTTTGTGTCTCCAGTTTGACACATCCCCCGGCCCTGAAAACAAAGGCCAATCAACCGCTGGGTGCGCTTGTCACACTTTGCCCAAGAAGGGATCTGCGCACGAAAACAGCCTTGAAAAGGGGAAGTAACCACGGACACAGGGCTGAGTGGGCGTGCGTGAGCGGGTATGCTCACCATGCCAGGCTCGTGCGAGACATGCGATGGAGTGCGTGGGCGGGGCATGTGCTTAACATGTGCCAGGCACGTAAGCAGGCATGCGACGGTGCGCGTGGGCAGGTGTGCTTACCATGTGCCAGGCATGTACGCGCTGTGGGTGGCAAAAAATGCCGCTGGCAAAAAGCCGCCAGAAATGGGTGCGTTCTTCCCCTCCCCCTCGCCCCAAAAGGTTCTTAAACTTCCCAGTTGCGGGAAAATCCGCTGACAATTCACCAATCTGCGAAAAATAACCACTTCTGTGATACAACAAAAAGGCTTCGCAAAGACCAACTTCCCACAGAAAGGGGGAGATGCCCTTGTATCACAGAAGTGGTTGGATAAACCTCTTGATCCCACAACCATACTTCACAGCCCTCACCATGACTCCCCAACATAAAACCTTCACCATGACCCCCAAAAAATCTAGGGGTAACTTCCAATTCCATTCTTTCCAGGGCTCCTTCTTTCCAGAAAACCACCAAAACCCCGTTGGATTTGAAATGGCGATCGGTGTTTGAAAAGAACGATGGCTGAAAAGAATGGACCAGGAATCAACCCCTAGAGTGATGTATGATTTCTGCGTACTTCTCCATTTCGAAACTGCTTGGGGCAAGGAATCAACCCCTAGAAAAAATTGGGTTCCGGCGCGGCAGATCTGATCGGATCAAAGCAAGGCGCAAGGCCGTGGCAACGGCGGGCACCTCCGGGTGCGCAGCTTCCTGGGCCAACTGGGGTAGGAGGGGGCCAAATGGGGAGGGAATTAAAAAAACGGATGAATAGACCCCTGGTTGAGGAGTGTTGACCCCGGATTAAGCAGGACTCCTGGTGGATGCGCTTCTTGGGTGTCCAATTCCTTTTAGTGGGGGATTCAGACCACTTTTGGAGGGAACACCCCCCTATGGGACAGGTTTACGTCAACATTATGGGGGGGTTCTATATATACCGAGGGGGTGGTCGCAAAAAAGAGGGGGGTTGGAGAGACGGGGTCCAGGCGAGGCGTGGTGGGTTTTCTACCCAGGGGGTGATCGAACTAACGACAAACAATCAACGTGGAACCGAACCAGCTTTTTGGGGGGTGGTCTAACCACGACTGTTCTACTTCCCCCTTGTTATATATCACTCAAAGAGGAAGATTCTGCCTTGCGGGCTTGCCTGAGGAGAAAGCTGCGCACACAGCTTTTCTGCGAGCCAAGTGAGTTAGTTGAACCGGAAAGTACTAGTAGGAGGCCGATCCGCGTATGAGCTCCTGAGCGGAGATCTCGGGGGGCAAACAAACCACCGGCGGACCCAGTCTGATTTGGGCCATTGACCTGCCCAATATCTCTGCAAAAGCGCACCACGGGGCCACGGGGGCTTCGAGCCGCAAATTTGCCCAAAACAAACCTGGTTAGAGTTAGGCCCAGTTATAGAATATATATTTTATTGTTTGCTTCACTTTGAGTCACTGGTAACATGTAAAATGTATCCTAAGTCTACCCGTGAAACACCCCGCTCTTTTCCCTGAAAAAATCCACCGCCTTCCGAAGAAGCATCCATACCTCCAAGCCCGAATGGAATGGGAGCCCGAATGGAATGGCAAAACATTTGTCCTACTCGTTAACTTTCGGTTCGGAACCCAAAGCTGAGGTTTGGCATGGCCCTAGCAGGTAGGAGCCAAACCACCTGCTAAAGCTTCTGGGACTCGGTTTTGGGCGCTACGAGTCGTGAAGCCGTGTGATCATCTTTGCAGAGGCTTGGGGCCACCCTTGGGAAGCCGAGTGACTCCGAACTTGGCCCACCGGGTAGCCACAGACACCCAATCGACGGACTCCAGAAGTATGCCAGGGGGGAAAGTCGGCGAGCCATAAAACCCGGGCGTGGGGCTTGACAGAAGCTTCCCCCTCCAACCCTCTGTTCCCCCATTAGTTTGGGGGGTCGCAAGGGTCCAAAATTACGAAACTAGAGCATTCACCTGCTCTTTTTGGTTGACCTTTGGTTGACCTCCCTTTCCGTGGACTCTGACGCTTTCGAGCCATCGAGGCACGTAGATGGTGGCAGGTACGCCGTTCACCCCACACAGCGCCCCAGCGAAGATCGCCAGGATCACCCCAATGATCCGTTGGGCCCCTACGAGCGATCACGCGGTATCCGAAGCGCATGGGTCAAACAGCATCGCCCTGAGAACCTCATGTCATCAGGTCTTCTTGACCAAGCCTGATATGGGTCTGTCTTGGAGGGCCACCTTTTGGTTGGAAAGGGAAGGGAAAAGGACTAGCATGAGGGTCGCTGGATTATGAACAGGTTTGCCAACTACTTCTTTGAATGCAGCCGATCACGATCGCCTCGTGAGCTACCCCTGCACAAAGCGAACAATCTTCCTAGACAGTACGCCGACAGTCATTGTTCAACCAACAACAAAGTTTTAGTCTCCAAAGAGCAACCAAGAACTGAGACCACTTTGGGAGCATTTAAACCAACATGGAACCTGACACACGTGCCATGGTAAAACAAGCGGTTCCATTCAAAAGGTTGACCAAAAGGATGCCAAACATTTTTTGGCCCCCTTCTGACACATTAAAATCCTGTGAGTTGACCCCGGTTTTTCAAACTGTCGGATTAGTGGGGTTTTCCTTGAGAAAAGGATCCTAATTGACATGAGGCAGCTCTGAAATACATCAACCCAGGGTTTCTTAATTTCCCAGAGCTTTCAGTCACCACTGTAGCCTGGGAAACCACTTAGCTAAAGAGAAAGTCCCACCTCGGGTCATTGCTGGTCCGATAATCTTCATCATTGTTCAACCCTTAGCCTAAGTAACATTGATCATAACACTTTTCTTCCAGTAGCATTGTAGTCAAGGGTAAAGATGTCAGATACCCTAAAACCCGTAAGGGTCCTGGAGTTTGGGGCCTGATGGCTGTGGCTCAAAAAACCGGTACCAAACTGGAACCCTGGTAAGTGGAAACATGGACCAAATCCTGCGGTTTGCCTCCTGTTTAATTTTGAGCCACACCCATGTGTCCTTTTCCCACCAAAGAAACTCCACGTGTCACGTCCGGGTGCGGCAAAGGAAGCTTCCTGTGAGTGGCCCCGGTTTTTCAACCTGTCGGATTAGTCATCAGTGGGGTTTTCCTTGAGAAAAGGATCCCAATTGAAATGAAGCAGCTCTGAAACACATCAACCCACGTCCGGGTTCTGCATACCACGGAGGCTTCCGGGCCTCGCCCGAAGCGGTCCAGCGAGCTCACCCGGTGGAGCGTGGTCAAGTCGTTCGCCTAGAAAGGGCGACATGAGGCCAAGGTCAGAAGTGGGTGTGCATTTGGTTCTTCTCTTTTTTTTTGAGTTGAGCTAGGTTTTTAGTAGAGGGGTTAGAATAAGGGTAACCTTTTTTCCTGTAGTCTATTTTAGTAGGGGAACCCTGCCTACTGAAAAGGGTAAGAGGGCACTACTGGGGGACCTAGTGAGGCTCACATTGTCACTATTCATTCCCTTGGGCTTCTCTCTGAGAGGCTTTAGGTCTCACCGCGAACATGACTTGATGCGAATGCGAGAGGTGGGTGTGCCTTCTTTAAGGGGACCCCCACACGGTGGGCTTCCTTTTGGGTTCCCTTTAAAACCACAAAAAGGGGTACCCTCAACCTCTAGAAAAGGGGCCACTCTGGGGCGTTCTGTTGGTTGGCTTCCTCTTGGGGCGTCCCTTTGGGAAAATCATCACACCCTCTTCTGTCAGTCACAACTAACCCCGCTGACGGCGCACGGCGTAGTTCTAGGGTTTGACATCTTTTCCATTCTGTTCAACCATCGTTCTTTTATCAAACACCGATCGCTGTTTCCCCAGGGTTTTGGGGTGCTTTTGTAGAAAGAAGGATGCCTGGAAAGAATGGAATTGGAAGTTACCCCTGGAATAGTTGTGGAGGAGTTCAAGGACAACGGTGGAACCAAAGTTCAGCCAAGCTAAGAAAGTGTGGGGAGGGGGTCGTACAAGATGATTACCCCTTTCTGAGATGATTTTCCGGGATGGTGCTACAAACAATGTCCCGCAACCATGCCTCTGGGCTTTTCTTGAAATTAGGGTCCCTCCTTTTGATGTGGGAGGCAAAACCAAAAACTACGCCAACCAATGCTAGGGGGCCACAAAGAATGGAACCCCCCGTCTGTTTTCTGGATTGTTTTGCTTTCAAGAACGAAAAGGCAAACTTTATAGACTAAAGGTCACCCCTGACGCGCCATGGAGAACCCAGCTTGCGACCCAGCTTCGGGCCCGAGGAATTTGCAACCAAAACTTTTGACAGTCCTCACCCACGCTCCACCAGGCAAGGTTTCTTAAGAGAGCTTGGCAAAGGGACATTGAATACAGGACACGCTGTGACCAATCGCGAACAGGGGCAAACAGGCTATCATAAGATTATAATCAAGGGGAACCAATCATACGTAAGCCAAGTAGCATGCCTCAAGCGAAACCTCCCTAGTTCAATCACCACAAAAAGCCAGCTCATTGGAAGATCACCTTTTGAGCGTGATCTATTGAACAGGTCTAAGGGTAACTTCCCCATTTGCCGGGATGAATCCCTTCCAGAAGACCCAAACCCGTTAAAAAAGAAAGAAAGCAAAGGCCAGTGCCTGGGATTCAAGCCACCGTTCAAACAATCTGGGTGAACTATAATATTTCACCAACCTGAAACTTGCGGTGGTTGGGGGGGCTTATTCCCCACATAAACCACCATTTGGGGTGAGGTCGTGTGAGGTCGTCATAATTCACCCAGAACAATGGGGGCTTGTATGACCACCATGGTTTATCTAAGGATTGTCCTCATCCAAAAATTATGTCCTTGCCTTTCTCTCAATGATTAATGGGGGTTGAACCCTAGGCCAGTGCCTATTGAAGCCAAAAAAGGATTGAACCGAATGGGAATGAACCCCCAGAAAAAGGACACCAACCATATCAGGATTTTTCCTGTTCATGTTAAGCTGACACAGCCTTCGCCGGTTTCACGGCAGCTTGATCACCTTCAGGAACCTTGGCAAGCAAAATGCAGCGACGGTTAAATCCAAGAAGTGTCCAACACACCTTTCGAGCATCCGAGCCCTATCAAAGGAATCCTGATGGGATCCTTGAAGTGTGCTGAAAAAGGTATGCTCCAAATGTGTTTGGAATACGTATGAATGATGCCGGATCCGAATTGTCGCGAGCTTCAGCCGTCCCAAACCCACCCTTTCCGCGCGTTTTAGGTGACCTGAAAAGAGAAAGCGTTGCCGGTCAAGACCACTTCCCTTTTAAAAGCCAGTAAAACGCCGGGGCGAAGCAACACATGGAGTGCTCATCTGGGGTAACCACTAACCCCGCCCTTTCAGCCAAACCTGCCTTTTTGGGGATCCCTTACTTTTGAGACAAGCCCATTTCCTCAAGCCAAGCGGACCAATAAGCTGTAACAGTGGCCCAAACCACTTGTCGCATGGCTGCTGAATAACAACCTGCCCCTTGCATACCATACCTCACATGAGTTGGTCCCGGTCAACCTGCCTTAAGGCACAGAAGTCCAAGGACAAGCATGAATCAAGCCCTCCAACCTCCCCCTATTTTTGTCGGGTATGGAGTCAACCACGGGATTTGCCATGCAACACCTGGCTTTTTCCCCATTAATATGGCGGTGGGTCAAAAATGCGTACTGAAAATGGAACCCTGGTAAATGGGTGCCCAAAGACTAACACCTGCGGTCCAATTCCTGGTGGTTTTATTTTGACCCATACCCAAAAACAACCTTCGAAGAAGCGGGTAGTTCAGGGGAAGATCTCAGCCAAGCAGCGCCGTAAACTGAAAATCCCCCCACCGCCATGAATCTGACGTCGCACTCAACGGCGGTGGCGTCAGCAGGATCGATGTCTGGGCGGCTTGCGAGCGGGGCGGGCACTGCAAGGGTCCTGTGGGAACTAAACCTGGGTCCTCCAGTAGAGAGCTTAGAATAAGCTGGTACTCGATTTTTGTTTTTTTCTGCGGTCTATTTTGGTAGGGGAACGCTCCCCCAAGAATGGGTAAAAGGGCACTACTGGGGAACTAGTTGTGATGCTGTTGGAGTCCCATGCCCTAAATTCCAAGTTTCCACAGCCAAGGGGATACACGTGGACAAAGGGTTCCGCCGTACACTCGACTTGAACATGGGATCAAGACCCTGGTGAACCAAAATGACTCGAGATGGGAACATCCTCCCAGAACAAAAAATCGACGCGGTTGCGGCCATCCGACGTGGAAAGTTGTGCTGCGAGCCTGCCCAAACCAACAGTAGACCAACAAAATCCTTGTCATTTCGTCATTTTCTGTGGTCAATAAAAGTCTAGGGGTTGATTCCCCATTCTTTTTAATTATTGTTCTTTTCGAAAACCAGCTGTTTTCCATGGTTTTTTTGTGGTTCTCTAGAAAGAAGGATCCCTGGAAAGAATGGGGAAGCTACGCTTAGAAAAAGTGTGTTTGATCCAATAGACAAATTCCAACCCCTCCCGAGCTACCTCTAAGTCAACCTCCTGAGCTGGGGAGTGACGACTATCTTCCCAAGGAGCTTGGGACTTGAGCTTGCCTGGGTATGATTCTTATTTGGGCACCGTTTGGTGGACATCATTTAGGTTGTGATTTCTGTCCACCCACTTTTCAGGGGGTTCCCTCTTGAAATTCATGGCGTCTCACGAGTCATGGGCTCTTCGCGCGGTCGGGCTTCCAATTTTTGCCGAGGCTCGCAGCGATTCGCACTCGCTCGCATCGGAGTCGTCGCCTCGTTTGCTTCCGCGTTGCGCTTCCCTCCAGTTCTGGGGGCTGATTCCTGGTCCTTTCTGTTCGACCATCGTTCTTTCCCAAAACCGGAGCCGCTTTCAACCTGTGTTTCCGGAGGTTTCTAGAAAGAAGGATCCCTGGAAAGAATGGAATTGGAAGGTACACCTAGAACTGGTCTCTTGGCATTGAACAAGGAAACCGTTTTGGTGCCCAAGCCTTGAGTGGAAAGTATCGTCTTCTGAAAGGGTCTGCCCCAACGATGTTGGTGGGGGGGTATACGTTCATATCCTCGCCGCAGGTTGGACATGGGAAGATTCGGTGGGACAGTTGCTCCCAGATTCCACTTTCTCGTCCTCCCCAAGAGCGTTGCTGGCAAATCCAGGCCAGTGGCTTCCCTTCCCGTCACTTGACCCCCCTTGGAACTCAGGAATAAAAATCCCCTTTCGGGGCCACGACACCTGGGCCAGGCTGCCATTTGCGTTTTCGCCCCCTGGAAAAAAAAGAACGAGAATATGTCCAGACGTGAAGACAAATTCCCTTTAAAACCAAGCAGGGGAAAAGAAAACATATTCACTTCAGCAACTCGAAGCAAGGAGAAACCGACCGCTCCAGTCGGCATTTTTGTGCTGGGCCCCCTGGCTCTCCGGCTCGTGCCCTGCCTCAGCGTGGGTCGAAGCCATGGTTGGGGTCGAAGCCAACCGACTGGAGCCTCTGGTCGGACCCTCCCGTAAACAACCCAAAGGTAAAAACCAAAGTTCGGTCAAATCGACAACTTGGGCGGTGGGAAGAACCAGTCTTTTCCGGGACTCTTCACTTCCCCGTAAGGCTCTCCTTCTTTTCTTCGGCCCGTGTGATGTGCCTTTTCTCTCGGCGGCCCAGGGGGTCAAACAACTTCAGAGGACTTCTTACCTCACTCCCGACCAAGTCGATCCCAAAACGGTCCGAACTCTTGGTGCACAAACTCGGGGAGTGAAGGGACACCTCGGGTCCCGTCGCCGCGAGGAATCCTCGATCCGGCCTCCACAAAGACCATGGCAAAGAAAGAGAGCAGGATCAGCCCGCAGCCGATATCACCTAAATTACGCAGCCTTCGTCCCACAAGAAAAACGAACCACCAATCCAAGCCGATCTTCGCCTTCCTTGCGTTTGTTGTCAAAGGCAATGATGTGTACATGTTGCGTAATATTTGTTGTGGCACCTTAAGCAAATCGAACGCCCCCTGCTTTGTTTCTTGGTGGGATCAACACCAAACAAATGGATGCAGGTTAGGGGACAGCTTGAACCAAAGGCAGGTGTAAATATCCACCCTTTTCAGTCTTTGGCCTGGGCTTGGTCTAGACTTCATACAGCTGCCATAAGCCTTTCTGCTCGCCATCCTAAACACACCTCCAGTTGTAGTCTACGTTTGTTTTCAACATCCAGATGTGTTCGCAGGGTGTTTCTTCCGGGACGTGTGAAGGGGCCAAGTCCAGGGTTATGGCAACCCCACATTAATAAACCCCAGCTTATTAAAAAGGGGGTGTCCCTGGATTTAGTGGGGATTGATCACTTTTGGAGGGGAACACCCCCCATGTCAATAAACAGGGGTTTATTGATAGGGGGTGTCCCTGGATTTGGTGGGGATTCATTACTTTGGGAGGGGAACACCCACCCATTAATAAACTGGGGTTGATTAATACGAGGTCAACATTTGTTGGCTTTTCTTGCCATTCCTTACACTTGCTACCAACATAGCACCTGCCGGAAGCAACCTGAATTTGGGGCGGGGGGGGCCAACACTTGAATCATGTGTTTTTACATATGTGTATACATACATATATATATAATATATATATATATATACATATGGGTGGCTTCCCATGTAGCCTCTACAAGAACAAGGGCCTCGACTCCCGAAAAACCACCACCGCTCGAGGGCTGATGCGCCGATCGAAGACTTCAGCCGAAGGCGCAGATCCAGAGCTCACCAGAGAGCTTCTTCACCCCGAACAGGCCGAAGCGCCCGATGCAGTACCCCACCATCAAATTCCTCGGGTCCAAATGCGCGCTGGTGCTGACCTGTGGCTTGAAATACCCCATCAAATTTCTTTTCGGGGTTCCCATGCGTGAAAAAGACGCCTAACAAGTTTTTACCTGTGGCGAACTGGGATCTGAGAAAGGAGCTACTAAGAAACTGGGCAGGTGAAGACCTTGGATTTCGGGGTTTCGGTGACTTTGTGGTGAGCCCGCTGATTTATGCTGATTTTTATTTTGTTCCCTCGGTCGAACCGTTTGGACCTGTGTCAAACCAGCTCTCTGAAAAGCGGTATGTCTCCCGTTCTAAAGCTAACTTCTGAAAAACTTCTGAAAGGCGGACGAGGCTAAGATTCAACCCAAGGAGTCATTGACCCAAGGAGTCATACACCTGGAATGCATAACTCGGGCCTCCAGTAGAGAGCTTCGAAGGGCACTAACGTTTTTGTTTCTTGTTTCTTTCCTATTTTAGCAGGAGAACCCTCCCCCAAAAAAGGGGAGAGACAGAGGGGACCTAGATAATCACAAGCCTTTCGGTACTTTGGGCTGTCATCTCCACTTATTCAGTGTCTTCTCCCCTCAGCTTGGGTGGGAAAAATGACACTTTCTGTGATACCAAACGGTTGTGAGCTGTATCATCTTGGGAGTGAAGAGGAATGAAAGGTCCGAAAAATACAGTTTTGGTGTTCCACATTACAATTCAGAGCCGTTTTGATTCGAAGGAGAAACCCGGCGTACACAGCAACAGAAAAACAAATTGCAACGGCGGTCTATCCCCGTAAAATTGCTGGATCACCGTCACCACAGAGCAAGGTGGCACATGCGGGACTCGGAAGACTGTTGGTTGAGGAAGGACGCTCGTGATGAGAGACGTGAGCATAAACTTCACAGCATTCAGACACTGCGAATTGGCAGGAACTGACCAAATGCGCCCCGGCCATCTGGGGAACGGAGACACTCATGTGATCGAGCCATAATCAAAACCCGGTATTAACATGGTCGACCCAGAACCATGTAAAGAATTACAAAGGCGGATATCCGCAGCTATTTAGAATTTACGGTTGAGATTGTCCCTTACTAACCTTCATCTACCCGAATCAGTTTTGAGCAAGTGGCTCATGTACTCAGATTCCGCTTCATTTTCCGTCTGCCCCATCAATCCACATCAACTCGACCGCTTCATCCGCTCGGTCGTTCCGATCGTTTCCGCGGAAACGAGTCGTTCTCCGAGGGGCACAAAGTGGTACAAGGAGAAGCCCAGGCCAATGCCCAAGAGCTTCACCAGAGGCAGCACCAGGTAGTTGGACATTGCCCACAGCACCTAATTTCTCGGTTGCTTTTTTTTCTGTAGTCTATTTTAGTAGGGGAACCCTCCCAACCAAAGAAGGGGTGAGACAGGGCACCTAGCTGGGGGACGTAGATGTTGTTCCAGAGGTGGCCAACCATTTCTCGGTTGCTTTCTGCTCCCCTGCTAAAAGTGACAAACTTTTAGTGGTTTCATGAAAAAAAAAAAACATTTGGCGAAAAGTTAAAGTCCTAGCATCCAAGCAACATGCACCAAAGTAATGTTTCAGGATTCGGATCTGAAACGGTTGACACTCCGCCGACTACATCAACCAGCTATTTGCGAATCAACTGTGTTCGTACTATGTCGGACTCTAACCTAGAGAGGGGGGACCAAAGACACTTGTCAATCAATCTGCCAAAAAAGGCCCTTCTCGAAACAGGACATCGCCAGGGTTCCGTACGTACTCTATTTTGGTTTACATATCACCTGTCCCGAAATAGACGCTGGATTAATCAACTTGCCCTATTCATAGGGGCGGCCCTCCAAATGTGATTCCACACACCCATATTCAAAAACTGGGTTGATTAATCCGGCGTTTACATTGATGCCCAGCACTATGTGGCTTGTTTTTGAGGCTCTGTACACATCCATTGCGGGAAATCTTTGGGCTCCCGCACCCGCGATTCCGTTTGAGTTCTAAATGGCGACGGGTACCTTACACTAGTTCTTGTTCAACCAGGTAGAACCTTCTTCCACGGTCCAAGTTTGTTGTTCTGGTGCTCGCATGCAATATGGCTGTGGCTCAAAAAAGAGGTACCAAAATTGCACCTTGGTACATCGAAACAAAGACTACATGCAATACTGTGGATGGACGAAATCCTGCATGACTTGTACACCGTGGTTGAAACCATTGTTTGTTGCTATTTGCAGGGAAATCATCAGAAACCAGGGTTTCTTAGGTGGTGCCTAAGAGGATTTAGCAACCATCCACAGTATGTCACTGGCCAAGGCATTTGTCGAGGGCACCCCTCCGAGCATCACCAGCGGCGAGAGCCCACGCTCCAGCTGGCCAGAGCTCACAGCGATGAGGAAGCCCATCATGAGGATCCCATTGCCCATGAACCATTGGAACGCCGTGCCTTCCTCAGATTTTGCGCGGAAAAAGGCCGGGGGTTGTGGGTTGGTTTGGTTTGATATGTTTGTGACTGGGCAAAACAGAAAGGCCCAAAAGAAAGCTGTGGTTTAGTTGGTTGAGTTTTTGTTGCGAGGGAGTCGGAGCGTCTCGCAAAAATGGAGATGTGTGTTTCTGTTGGGGAGGTGGGCTCTCGAAAGAGTGATACGCTTTGCAGGTTGCCCTGTTGTGGGGGGCGGGGGGGGATCTGGCTCTGGGTCTTGAAAAATAGAGTCTTTTCCAGGAGCTATCTGAAAAAAACACACATTTTCTTTTGGGGGGTATCTGACAAAGTGGGCACATCCATCCCGTTCTGGCTCCTTTGAATCCAAACGCAGCTCCCCGTGTGCAAAGGGATCAGATCCCCAGAGCTTTGCACCTGACGATCACTAGCTCAGAAGCCCGGCGAACGTGCCCTCCGTTTGTTGTGATTGAAGGAACACCTTGACACAATAAAAAGCTAAACAAGTGAGCCATAATCAAAAACCGGTAATAAAATGGTCTACCCAGAACCATGTGAAGAATTAAGAAGGCGGATATCCGCAGCTATTTATGGCAAGGGCATTGTCCGTTACTAACCTTCATCTACCCGGGTTTTGATTGTGGCTCAAGTGGAATCCACTGGGCAGGGCTAGAGTCAAGGTATGGACTGTGAGATGGGCTGTCTCAAGATAAGGGGTGTTGCAACCCCGAGAAAGAATCAAATGAAACTCCCTTTGACTGGTGGGCCTCACCACCCCTTTCTGGAGGAACAGCCCACCCGCCTCATACGAAAGGGTTGCTTTTGGTTCCCTTTCAACCAAGAAAGAGGTGCAGCCCCAAAACACACACGCCCAACATGAATTTCCAAGTCGCCTTTGCCAAAGCCAGAAATCAGAAAAAAATCCGCGGCAGCCAGAAGTACAATAGGGTGCCCAAGCAACTGACAAAACAACATAGGGTTGTGGGTACTTCAAAACCCAAAATAAGCCATGATAATAATAACTCGAGTGGACACTATTTCAGAAATTCCACAGTGTTTCCCTCTTGCAACTGCGTAACATGAACACGCTAGCAGGTCGATTTAGTCAGATTTACGGTTGCATTTTGTGTGGCAGGTGCGGCATGGTCAACGTTCACCCTGTTTTCAGTTCTAAAACAAAAGGCCTCCAAATGTGAAAATTGTGTTCTCTTTGACTTCTAATTAGGGGGAACGTATATTTGTTGCGGCGACAGAGAGCAAACTTTTATCATGGTAACAGTAGGAAACCAACCATTTGCCGTTCGGTCTTTCAAGGGTGGTTCCCGTGTTTGCCAACAAAGGGACATGGGACACCTGGGAATCTGTGAAAACTGTCGCCTACAAACCCTGTCTTCAATTCAGCCAGCTGTCGAAGATCTCATACTTCTTGACCTCAGCGAGCTGAGTTTGCTCGAAATTCGACTATCCCGAATCCCAATCTTTGTCCTCCAGTAGAGAGGCTAGAGATTAAGGGTACACGATTTTTTTTCTGTAGTCTATTTTTCTAGCGGAACTCTCCCCCAAAAAAGGGGTAAAAGGGCACTATTGGGGGACCTAGTAATCTGCAGTCCAGCACCCGTGTTTTTGTAGCTGAGTTTGTAGGGAAAGCCTCTCCACAAAAGGGAAAACAGGGCGCTGGGGTGTCTGCAGCCCGCAGAGGGACACGACCACAAGGGAAGCCGCTACAATGTGGTGTACAAACTGAGGATTGTTCTTGAACCACCCGCCGTGTCGGCTGACGACCCGCCGTGTTTGCTGACTGGCATAGAAACCGGCAGGAGGCTCATTGGTACATGAGCCATCAATGTTTGTTGTCTCCATGACATTGGGGGTTGGGCAGGCAAGTCCTCCATTCATTTTAGCACGGAACTTTAGTAAATGCATCGCACGTCCACGCTCACTACTATTGCAAATTATGTTTCAACTTGTTACTGCTAAGCGGCTGCGTTCATGTCAAAAGTGGCCATGACTGCCTGTTTCTTAGAGTCTGTTTGAGGTCAACAACTGAAGATCGCAGGAGAAAGATACATAGTCATTAGAACACTAACTGTGTCTGTGCACGAATGAATGTCATTTCATTCCCAAGACTTGACCATTCTTCTGCTGTGTGTCTGGCTTGGCCTTGGCCGAATGGCACTGCAGTTTGATCTCTTCCAGAAAAAGCAGTTGTGCTGCCGCCAAACAACTAAGTCCTGCCTCACACTGCGGTTGGACGACATCCCGCTTGGACGCCACCCTACAAGTAGGTACCGGGCTCAAGCACCGCCCAAGTCCCAGACCATCTACCACCCACACCATTGAACCCCCAGCTTGCTTGCTTTGCAAACCGATCCAAATTCAGCTTCCCTCTGATTGGTTTGGATTGGTGGCTGCGTGCCACCCAAGAAGAGCTTCAAAACCCCAAACCGCTACTCCAAACCACAAATTCACTCTTACCTGACTCCAAAAAAACACGTCGAGCTCCGAGCCCCACGAGAGCGGCCCGGAGCTCTAAGCGCCGCGCTGGGACGTATTGGATGCCAAAGGCGATCGCGGCCGCCAGCGCGTAGACCAGGCCCAGGCTTTGGCTCATGACGAGTCACGCGTCGCGAGTCACGCGTCGCAAGTCACGCGTCGCGTCCTGTCGCTCCTATGGTTCAAGGGCCACTCCACATGTAAACCGAAGAAACCTCAACCACTCTGCTCCTTAAATGGCTGGGTTGGTCTGGTACATGGAATGGACTCGAACCTGCGGTCCAATTCCTGGTGGTTTCATCTTGACCCATACCCAACTGTCCCTTTTGTCTATGGTTCAAGGGCCACTCCAAATGTACACCGAAGAAATTTAGGGGCCTCTTTCATCTCCCGATGTCCTGTTGGGAAACAAACTCTGGGGCTCACATGGCCATGTTTTTTGATGGCAGTTGAGCAACGTGCTTTTGGTGGGCCTCTGCCGTGTGGTGGGGCGATCGTGTTTTTGAGGCCTAAATGCCATGGGTTGATCTTCAAACCTCGGGTGCTGAAAGGGCCCCGGCCGTCGGCACGCGAGGACAGGGCGCACTTCAACGGCAGTCATTTCAGGATCCCGTGTTAGAATCTTGACTTCTAGTGGGTCACATGGAAATCCCCAGGAACAAAAAAAACCAAAAAGCTCAAAAGCTCAGGGGAAGGCTGGGCGCAACCAAGTTCAGGGGAGTCTCCCATCTTCGGCAAACATGGGCTACCTACCCTCCCGAGAATCATGGAAGCTGACGATCGGAGGGTTCTGGAAAACCACTTTCCTTTCGGGGAAGCGCCGGAACTTCCATCGTTGGAGAAAGGCGAAATTGGGGGAGTTCCTCACCCGTGGAGCTGGCATTGCTGCTCCAAACCCTTTGGGGTGAACGTCGGCCAGAGAGAGGACTTGCACGAATACAATGGGGTACACGTGTCGGAGCCATTTTGAGACAGGACAGTTCAAAAAAATGCCGAATGGGAAAACACCGCGACCCTATATCATTGACATCTTGAGATCATTGTCAGAGTTGCTACGTATTCTTGCAGGAGTGCCCACTTACCCAAGATGAAAAGAGACCAACCCTTTTCCGCAATTTTCCGGGTGGACTCGATTCGGCAATCTGAAATAATGGACCCCTTATCACCTTTTGGACCCACACGAGCTGTCCCCCCCCCCATAGAATCTCAAGCATGGTACCAGGCTGGGTAAGGGCTTGCTTTCGTTACTCTGGAGTTTGGGTGCCCCTCAAATATGCCCCAATTTCTACCTTGATATACCTGTTCTGGGTTTGTTCGTTTTTTTGAAAGTACCCTTTTTGAGGTTGGTTGAAAAGGACACGAAACGGAAGGCCCTGAGACAAACCCAAAATGGTACCCCGGTTTTTCACGGCGAGGTAGGACACTTTCTAGTTGAACTTCGGCGTTGCATAGCTTCTGCTGTGTGAAAACCCCGCCTGGTCTGGCTTGCTCCCCTCTCCCCAACAATCATGGAAGTTGACAGAGGTTCCCCAAAAAGAAAGCTAGTCTTCCAACACTATCTTGTCAGTCTCCATGATTTTTGGTCCATAATTTCGGAAGATGACTCCAATGGTACCCAACGCAGGAGGTTTCCCCTCTCTTGGAATCGCCTTTGGCCCAACTCTGCGGTACACAAAAAACAAAAAAACTCAGATTGTGAATCATTCGGCAACCTTAGAATAGAAGACACGGGCGCGTCTTGAAACTGGGGAACGTGCCCCCGCCCTCAAAAAATAAAATAGAAAAAGAAGCATATAGAAAAAGAAGTAAAACCCTCTAACCCTGGGTTTGGAGGGTTCCACTTTCTACACTTTGCTAAGGAGCCTTGCCTTAGAAAAGTAAAACCCTGCAACCCTGAGTTTGGAGGGTTTTACTTTCTAAGGAGCTTTAGAAGCAATGCAACCGAGAACAAATAAGATTTACAAAAACCAAATCGAGAAATGTGGTTTTCCTCAGTTTTTCAGCCCCAAACAAACAAGGCACCTTGAAGAAAAGACACCCCCGAGAGCCCTGGCTTTCTCAGAAACCTGAGCTAAGTCTCCGGCACCCCAAGGACCTCGAGCGTGAGGTCCCCACGCGGGAAGGATTTCCGGAAGAACCACGGCACCGTTCTTTTGACTTCAAAGAACAACAAATTTGGTTAGTTGTTCTTCATTTCTTTGCTTCCTTCTTTATTTATCTCATTCCTTCTTTCTTTCTTTTCTTTGTTTCGTTCTTTCCTTCTTTCTTTATTTATTTATTTATTTTATTTGGTTCTTTCCTTATTCCTTTCTTTCTTTCGTTCTTTCCTTCTTTCTTTCTTTCTGTCTTTCTTTATTTATCTCTTTCCATCCTTCTTTATGTCCTTCTTTCTTTATTTAATTCTTTCTTTACTTCTTCCTTTATTTATTTCTTTCTTTATGTCCTTCTTTATTTCCTTCTTTCTTTATTTCCTTCTTTCATTAGTTCCTTCTTTCTTTCTTTCTGTCTTTCTTTCCGACGTTATGATTTCATTCCTTTATGTTGTTATTTATTTCGTGCTGTCCTTCTTTCTTTACTTATCTATTTCTTTATTTATTTCTTTATTTCTTTCTTTCTTTCTTTCTTTCTTTCTTTCTTTATTTTATTTCTTTCTTTCTTTTCTTTCTTTCTTTTCGTTGTTTCGTATTTTGATCTTTCTTTGTTGATTTCTTTCTTGCGTCCGTTCTTTCCTTCTTTCTTTATTTCATTTCTTTAGTTCTTTCTTTCTTTGCTTCTCTCCTTCTGTCTTTCTTTCCTTCTCTCCTTCCTTCTTTCTTTCTTTATTTCTTTCTGTCCTTCCTTCTTTCTTTCTGTCTTTCTTTATTTATTTATTTATTTATTTCTTCTCTTTCTTTTGTTTGTTTCGTTCTTTCATTCTTTCATTCTTTCATTATTTTTGTCTGTCCTTCCTTCTTTCTTTATTTCTTTCTTTTGTTTGTTTCGTTCTTTCATTCTTTTATTATTTCTTTCTGTCTTTCTTTCTTTCTTTCTGACTGTCTTGTTTTGGGGGAGGGGGCATTGGTTCTAAATGGAACTCGCGGAAATAAGGAAACCAGTTGGCACCACTGTGTGTCTTGGTTTGAAGGGTCTCTCGGCCGGCAATCTTCACCTAAATGGGACCCCCCCAGCTAAACACTGATTGGGAGGATTGTGCGGTTTCCGATTTCGACGAAAGAAGTGTTCTTTTGGTTGGGTCTCTCCTTGAAGGGTGCTTTCAAAATGTGACCTGGTGAATTCCAAACTGCAAGTGCCTTATCAGTCTGAAAATCATCACGGAACCTTCGCGCTCGCCCCCGCACCCCCCCCCCCCCGCCCCCCGGCACACCCAACGAGCACCCGCTGACGCATCCCCTCGCGCCGCCAACCCTCGCACACCCCACACCCACCTCTCACCCGCACACACCCCACGCCCACGCCCACGCCCACCCCCACACCACTGACACCCACCGACACCTGCATCGCCCAGGTGTCCTGTTGGGGAGCACTTCCTGAGTGGCTTCGCCAAAACGTCTGAACTCTTTAGTTTGCCACTAAAGTGGGTGTGTCGCTTTTGGGACCGTTCTTGTGTAGTATTAAAGGAACAGGGGGGTCTTCTAAAACAAGACACACTTACATTGCTTGTTTTTTCAAGAAGTAACAAGTCCAAGTCAGGGACTGCCAGCAGTTCCCCGTTTAGTGCTGAAAGCTTGGAGTTCCTGTTGGTTTGCCTTGAAACCAACCAGAAACACTTCACAAGATTGAGATACAGGAACCCTCAAATGGGGGGATGATGATTTTTGAGGGCCAAAGGAACTGTCATGCACCCTTCGACCGAACAAGAATTCAAACCATGCAGCTGTTTTCTTTTGACGGAAACGCGAATTGGGCATGTCAAGATTGGGGCCCAACAACTGATTGGTTTCCTGTGGCTTCGTAAACCAATCAAAACAGGGCACGCTCAAAAATACAAATGGCCAGCTGAGGGCCCAAAGCCGGTTTTTGGCCATTTCAGGAGGTTGAAAGTCGCCTTTTCTAGTTTAAATGGAAAGCAAAGGACAACCAATGGGGGACATAGACGTGTGTCTTTTTTTGGTGAACTCCTCCAAAATGGTGGTTGTCCTCGTTGTCCTTTTGGTGTCCCTTGAAAACGAACAAAAAACGGGGTACCCTTAAGAAAAGACACACCCGCATACGCATCCAGTGCCTCGGCACGGCCCGGCCTCCGCCAAACACTTGCGGAGGGGCGGTAGAGACACTCGACCTAGCGGCGAGCTTGAACGAGTTTTCCCCGCCCTATGCGTTGATTCAGGGTACATCAGGATACCCTGAAAAAAACTCTCATTTTTCAAGGGAAGCCTGAAGAAAAAAAAAGAGGGGGTTGCTTTATTTGATACATACGGTATCATGAACTAGTTTGGAGCGCCCGCAAAGGGGGCCCCGGCAATATAGCCGCACGCTTCGGTGAGGGAGCTAACAATGCAAATGGACAAATCCGGTTGGCTGGGCGTCGGACTCGACTTGGGATGGCGGCGGTGGCTTGATAGTACCCCAACTTGACCACAAAATGACACATTCGATTGATTTGCTGGGGCCCCTTTTGGAGGAACCCCATTCTGGTTCATGATTACCCATGCAGGGAATTCACAACCCGTAGGTTTCGTACGGTTCAGGTGGAATCAGGAGAGGTGTTGAACACATGTTCTCAAGAGATCACAATTAAATGGAACCTCCAAGAATCCACAGCCACCGTGGGTTGCTGGCACCCCCATCCTGCCCCGTCCAGGTCATACGACAGGTCATACGACTACTAGTAGCACCTATCTGAGGGTTTTTGTATTACACCCTGGGATTACACCCTTGGGAAATGACCCAGAATGGTTCAACATAACACGGTTTTCTCCGGAAATGTGCCTAAATGGAGTCATACCCAGTGGGTGTATTCCCAGGGTGTGATACAAACACCCTTAGAACCTGGCCCGAAGCCACACTCTGTTCATGAAGGCGTTTCTCAGCGGGCAATGCTTGGGCCTGGCTTTTAAAATTCAGGTATTTCGGGTTTTGGCTTAAACGGCTTAGGGCATAGGCTTAAGTTGTAGTAATGTTTGGGTGTAAGGCTCCGGGTTTAGGTTTAGGGTTTAGGTTCAGGGCTTAGGTATCGGTTTACAGTTTGGGGTTAATTAAGGTTTTGGCTCAAAGAGTTTGGGTTTAAGGTTGTTGGGTTTCGGTTGCGTTTAGCTTTAAGGTTTGGGCGTGACTTTGGGACGCAGGCAACACATGAGGGCTGGCCGTACAAACAGAGGGGGGTTTGAGAGATAGCCCTAGCTGTGCCTTCCAGCCATTTTCAGCTAAAAAAAAACGGAGTCCGAAATGGCCTGAAACTCTGCTAGGTCCTCCAATAGAGAGGTTAGAATACGGGTACCCTTTTTTCTGTAGTCTCTTTTAGTAGGGGAACCCTCCCCAAAAGGGAAAGGGCACTGCTGGGCGACCTGGTACCCGCAGAGCGCCTTCAAACCCACCGATTCTGAGCAACTCGCCCAAAGTTGAAACTCCCACCACCCTCCCTTTCTTTGGTTGATCAAGGTTGCGGTAGCCTCAAAAAACGAAGCCCAGCTTGCATCGGACTTTGGACTGTGCCGGCTTTTTTGTTGGGAGCTGCCGAATCAACCAAGAACTCGACTCCAATTCATATCACCCACTCAAGGATTTCCCCCAAAAAAAACTGGACCCTAATCCAGAAATCGGCACTTACGCATCCCCTGCGTATTTTTTTGGGGGGGTGCCTTCCTGCCTACAAAACGTTCTCTCTGAATTCGAGGAGGCGCTTTATTGCTGATGGTGTAAACTTCCATTTGGTTAAGACCCTGGAAAAAATAAAAACATGTCCAGCAGCGATAAAATCCTTTCAATACCAACAAGGGAAAAACAAACAAAAAACATATTTTTGGGCAAATGGAAGTAAAGCAGGTGTGGTTTTCGTGGTCACGTGGTTTTCTCCTCGCATTTTCCATCTCTTGGGCCCCGCGCGAGGTCAGGCCCGGGAAGGTGCGCAGGTCACCTGCCGCCGATGCCACTTGAAGTTTACCAACCGGCATTCCTCGGGGGTCAGTCCCAACTGGTGCTACCCCCTAGTCCACATACCCACTTTTTCTAGGGCATTTTTTTGGAAACCTGTTTTTTCAAGGTAAATACCTCCTTTTTTAGTAGAGGGTCGACATGATGACTTGGTCCGTCCACAGTAATTTGGGGCTTCAGGTAAAGGTGAGGGGTAGGAGTTGGGGTAGGTTTCATGGTTCGGGCTGTCCGTGAGCCAAGTGGTTCTCTTTGCACCGTGTTGACCCCCACTTGACCCCCTGTAACATCCTTGCCCGTAGGGTTCCCACATTCAGCGATCCCCCCCATCCAAGTGGCGGAAAGGGTCAGTGAGCTTGAAAGTAAAAGAGCAGCCAACTGAGCTGGAACTCAGCCGGCCAGAGCAGTTCAAAACCAGAATCACCCGTGGGTTTTCACCAGAGTTGTGGGAATTCTCCACTTCTGTCGTCCAAGGTCACCATCACAAAAGTGGCCCGAAAGAGGGGGGGGAAAAACAACTCATTGCCGCAACCCTGACAGGGTTACCCGGATCTTCCAACAAAAAGAAAGGACATGGATCGATCCTTGCTGCAGGCTTGGTATCCCGTTTCCAAGAAAAAAAACGAAGGGAAGCGGCAGACCCAGCTGTGTCCATAAGAAACCCATGGAGCCCCTTCCACAACCCGGCCGACTTAAAAGCCCTTGGAACGCCCGTAGTTGGTAGCTTTCTTTTTTTTTAACGGGACACCCTCCAAAAAAAGAGGCAGCCAAGAAAAAGAAGACGCAGCCACGAAGACGCGAAAAACAAATAAGAATCACTCCACCTTCTCGGTCTGGCAAATGAGACCTGTGCACATGGATTCAACTTGTGTGGGTCGTGGCCATGGCTCTCTGAGGTACCATGCCCATCCCTATCTGCGCATCAACCAACCAACTAACCAACCAAAGCAAAAAGGTGTGATGACGTTTTTTTCCAGAAAATGGGAAAATTCACCTTCCCCCAAACAAATAAAGGATCAGCAAATCCGGCCTCAGTGATGAACCACCCTCTACACACCAAAAGGACAATGAATCGACAGGTTGCCTACTAGAGTGGCTAGCCTGAGATCTGCAAAAAAAACAATCAAAGAGATTGCATGGTAGACTTGTTCTTTTCCCGATTTTTTGGGCTCCCACTTTTCGGCAAGGATCCGCTAGCCAAATATCCGCGCCCATCGCGAAGAAACGCTGCCTGCCACCCGGTCCGCCACCGAGGTCTCCAGGCGCCCCGCGACCGGCGCGGCCGGCATGGTGCGCAGCTCCTTTGGCGTGGGACCCAGGAAAAGGGGTCGGTGGGTTTGGTGGGGGTACAAGAATCCACAAGAATCCACAGCCGTGGGTTGCTACCCATCCTGCCAACAGGTCATACGACCAGCATGGCAGCATGGCCCGGTTTAATTCTGAGGTCTGGGACAAATCGCTAAATGGTTAGTAACCCTAGTTACAGGGGACGTACAACCATTGTAAGTTGGCTACAACCAGGGGTACTAGCCATTTAGCTAACTCCCAAACCATCCAAGCAGGGGTGGGGGGGGGTCCGTGGGTTTGGTGAGCATTGGACACCCTTGAAAATTTCGGGGCGCAAATGGGGGGCTGCGGCTACTGTTGAGATCCGTGGAACGGGGGCTTTCTAGGGAATTCTCATTGAAAATGACCAGCTATTGGAAAGTTTGAATGACTGGAGAAGGGCAATCCTGGATTCCTGTCATCCCGGATGAATCCGGAGGACCATGCCATACCAATGCGGAGGACCATATCGTCCAACCACACCATACCAGACCATCCGGGTGGTTGCCATTTTGGCAAACCACGATTTCAAGATTTGATTCTTCCATTTGGTTGAGACCCCTGCAAAAAATAAAAATATTTCCAGTAGTGATACATTCCTTTTAAAACCAACAAGGGAAAAACAACAAATATTTCTTAAGCCAACGGAAGGATTGCGACTCAGCGCCGGTTGCCATCTCCGCCTCTCTTCTCTCAGGGCCCCACCGCGGGCGTGGCCGCGCGCAGCTGCCCGCAAGAACGGCAGAAGAGGCCCTCCTCCACGTACCTGAGCCAAGTGGAAGACGGCCAAACACGTCCCCACCCTCTGGCGTCCTTTTGAGGTTCCGAACCCCCAATTTTTTATTGGCTTACGGAAGGCCCAAAGGAGACACTTTTTGGAGGGACTTTTGAGACCTTTTGTGTACTTGTGACCCTAAAAGCACCTTCCCTTTTTGTCCCAAAGTTTTTGCATAACCCTGAAACACACACTTTGCTTGCATCCCCCCAAATATACCAGGGTGAACGAAAATGGCACAATTCCGTTTATGTGGGCAAGTAAAGAGGGTGACTAAACCAAACAGAATTCTGCCATTTAGTTCAACCGACTGGCTTTTGGATGTGTTTCGTCTATAGCCGTAAATGATGCAGAATTGACTTGTCTAAGCCATATCAAATCAAAAATGGTGCCGTCGACTTTTGCACAGCTTCTTCGGCCGAACGGACACAACAAATCCTCGACAGAGATGGGTGTAAGTTCTGGACCAAGTCGAACAGCGCTCGGTTTCAAGAAGGAGTCCTTACTGGGTTGGCCTTCTGTTCGAAGGATTCTCTAGGAATTCATTCCCTCTGTTCAACAACCGTTCTGTCTTGGTAACCTCGTTTTTTGTTCTTCTTCTTTTTTCCGATTGTTCAGCCATCGCTAGTTTTTTTTTTTTAGTGATGTTTAGCCCCTTCACCTGGTTGGTTTTCTGGAAACCAGGATGCCTACACAGAACGGGGGGAAATGTTTAACTTCCAATGTCGACCATGCACGTCCAAATGCGCAGAGGGAAATACGGGTTTGTCTCCAAATATTGGGCCATTGGTACCTTTGAAAAACAGCAACAAACCATTCACAGAACCATCCCTAGGGGCTTCTCACATGTCCACGAAGTGAGTCAGAAGCAGCACCTGGCACTAAACGGGTCTGCAAAAACTACAAACGAAGAAACAAAAGCCGCTCCTGTTCACGCACTTCCTGAGTGGATTGGTCCAAAAAAGTTTCGAATTTCAGTTTACCGCTTAAACTGTCTTCCCAAAAAGTTTGTTTCCAGGAACTCAGGGAGTGGAGTATTCCTGGATAACTTTCATCTAGGCATTTCATTGCAGGAAAGCAGCCAAGCTGGTTGGACCTAATTTCCTGGAGAGGCAGTAGCCCAAACATCTAACTTCAAAATTGTGCGGAGGGGATCCCCAGCGCTGTTCGCGGGACACCAAGGGAGACCCGAAAACCATCTGACCGGACTTGCGGATTGACTTTGAACAAGGCAAAATGCAGGTTTCGCGGTCCTCAAGCTGCTGGCTGTTGTTTTTTGGATTTGAGTAAATGGGAACCCCCCCGACATCTCCAAACCACCACTTTGAACAACAGCTCTCTCCAGAAAACCACCAAACTTCTAGGGGAAACAACGGGCTTTGAAACGACCTGTGGGGTGTCCTAGCTAACTTCATCAACTTAAGGTTTGAACCCCCATCGTACGTGGCAAACCAGCTCCCAAACTCTCCAACCGCCAGCCGCCATGCTCAGCACTTTCTCAGGTACGTCTGGTTTTGTGCTTTGGGGATTAAACCTCTGGCCTGTAGAGGGCAAATGGGAAACTATCCCCTAACCACCAAACCACCGGGCTCCAAACCACCAATTCTCTCAGTTGAAGCTGCCCATCCCAAATAGCCGTGCCATGTCTTGCCCGCAAAATGCAAAACAAACACAAGAAAGCCACTTGCGCTACTCAGAAAGAATGCGCCCTACTTTAGAAATTCGGAAGCTTTTTTGCAAAAACAAGCCCCGAGCCGAGGCCCTGGCGGCTGCCCGCATTTCGGGCAGGACGGACTGGCTTGGGCCTGAAGGAGATACTCCCCTGATCAATGGAAGGAACCCCGAGTTTGCTCTAGCCAAAAAGGCCATCAACATGAGGCGCCCTGCCCATAGTTTACCTCCGGCAGTATATGGATAGAGGACAAGATGGACAATGGATGGGTTTGCTTGAATTAGATGAGATTCGGATAGATTCGATTTGAACGATAGGGATAGATAGATCGGTTATAGGTTGGATCAGGCAAAGAAAGGGAAAGGTAGAAGACGGAGAGATTCTAAATCGAAAGATAAAGCATAGAATTCGCCTGGGCCCCAAGGGGGCCAAGGGCGCTCAGACCCCCCCCCCCCGCCCCACCCCCCCTCACCCATGTCTGCCAGCCCAAGATCCTCTCCGGCGGGCCTTGAAGCTGAGAAAGGCAAAATGAGCAACAACGTCTTTTTGTTCCGGCAAGAGAACCAGTTGCCCGCCAGCCCAGCTGCCGAACCACTCTAGCTCAGCAACCCATTCAAGCACGGCCCAGCCCAGCCCGCAGCTCAGCCCAACCAGCAGCCTCACGCCCACGTGGCTGAGACGAGTTTCAGGCCCAACCTTACCAGCAAGGCCTGGAGCCCAGCCCCCAGTCCCAACCTGTCTGGCGTGCTGAGACTAGCCTGAGGCCCAGCCCAATCCCCACGCCAACACTGTCGATCAAGACTGCCGACATGTTTGTTGGTGGCACTCAGCACGTGTTTGAACGTCACACCCACGACGCCGTGCTTCTTTTCCAATATGCCCCGGTCCACTTACCCAGTTCCCACAGCCAGACAACTCTGAAACAAGACTGCCTAGACAAAAGGTTGCAATAACGCATGTCATTGACACGCATTGCTCAGTTGCTGATTCTGGGTGTGAGCATGGCTTTGCTGAAGCCCAAGCTGGTCGGCCATATTGGAATGGGAGGGCATGGGTAGAACAGGAAGAGGAAGATAACGATACAGATAACGAAACAGAGAAAGGAAGACAGACAGACAGACAGACAGACAGACAGACAGACAGACAGACAGACAGACGGACGGACGGACAGACAGACAGACAGACAAACAGAGAGAGAGAGAGAGAGAGACAGACAGAGTGAGAAAAAGAAGAGAGAAAGAAAGAAAAAGAAACATAATAAACAAAGGTGATTGAACAAAGATGAACAGAAAGACACGGAAAAAGATTAAAAACAAATATGAAGAATAGGAAGAAGAAACAAGACAAACATAACAGCAACAAAGACTAACATAAAAGACAAACATACAAAGAATGAGATAGAAAGAAAAACGAGGAAGGAGAGAAAGAGACAAACACAATACAAAGAAGAGAGAGAGAGAGAAAAAAAAAAAAGAGGAACGCAAAAGGAGACAGAACCAAACAGATCATGGACACAAAGATTTGGAAGAAGAGACATACGAAAGGCAAAAGCAGAATAAACAAAGAGAAGAGTGAAAGAAACAGATAGACAGATAGAGAGAGAGAGAGATGGAGGGAGAAAGAGACACATACATACATACGCAAAGAGCGATACATGGGAAGATATGGGAAGATAAAGAAACATATAAGAGAAAGAGAAAGATAACTATGGATGGGAAAGTACCAAGAGAAGAAAGAACAATACAAAGGGCATGCCAGATAAAGAGAACGTTGACAAATAAAACGAAAGGGAAGATGAAGAAAGAGAGGCGAAAGAACAAGGGTGGGACATACTGAAAAGGACTCAAGCCTTAGATTTATCTGCGTTGCAGTAAGACATCCTCGAAATCAGCCTCTATACTGATTTGCACGTGGTTCCCACCCTACATGATTTTTGAGAATCCCTGAAAATGCCACGAGACAACAACCGAACTGAAAGGAAGCCACGCTGGGGCAAGGGTCGCTGGATTCTCCTGCAAAGGTGGATCAATTTACTTGCCGGTTCTCAGAGAAGGAGCTGACGGCAAATTTTTGCGTGGCTGGGGTCGTCTCTTTGTGAGACTGGGTTCCCTTTTTGGGGCGGTTTTGAAGGGAAACCGAACGGACAACCCACCCGCTTGGCGGGGGTGTCCAAATCCATATTTTGACACCCACATGGAGCCCCATTCAGAACGGGAATCGCGCTTGGTTTAAATTACCTCAACTGTTGCCTACTTCTCACACCTGCTGAAAACAACACTGGATATGATAGGTAGGATACGGGTTTAGGGGGAAGCCCCAAACGAGCGCCTTCCCCGAAAGGCTTCCCTCCAAAAGCAGCCCAGAGCGAGTTCCCTCAAAGAAGTTTGCAGCATACGTCTTCAGGCCTCCCCCCAAAAGATAATTTCGCGCCACATCCCAAGACCACCCCACGTGCGGCGACCGTTTGACCAGCGCCCAAACTCGGTGTGACGGACCGTGCCCCGAGGTCGGCCTGCATCTGATCAAAGCTTTGGCTCGAGGGTGCCCAAGGCCCTGCGCGTGGACGGGTCTTAAGCGGTTGGGTGTGCGCTTGGGCTTCGGATTGCTGGGCTGGGATTTGTTTGGGGGCTGGGGTTTGGTGGGTTGGGGTGTGGTTTTCTTTGGAGCTTGGGGGTTCGGTTGTTTGGGAGTGTTGCTTGGCCTGGCTACTCGCAGCGCGGTTGGTTGGGCTTGGCTTGCTTTGCTTGCAATGTGTGCGCTCTCCAAACCTATGGCAATATATGGCTCCCCCCCCCTTCGCCACGCCCCAACAGGTCCAAACAAGGCACGCCTGGTCGGACGCCGGTGCACTGAGGGGTCCCTAAGGCGGGATGCCATGTTGGCTTCCGCCATGCCCCTACCATGGCCCGAATATTGCCCAAGAATCAAACTCCTTGAGGGCTACCTGCAGTACTTCAATGTACAATGATGCCAGTTGGGGCAGAAACTGCAAGAAGCAGGGGCACCCTAGTTGATGTGAATGGAGGACCTGCTGCATGGTGCGTAAAGGAAAACCAAAAGGACGCAGTCCGGTGTTCAGACTTGCCAAAAGGGACCTTGAAATACAAGATCAAGCGTCAACCTGTTGGAACGTCAACTAAAAGTAGACCAAAACTCGGAAAAACAAAAGGAACAAAACGTCGAAAGATCGGTTTGAGGCAAGTGAGCGTCTCCCCCTTTTGAATCAATCGTTCAACACATATCTCCCGAAAAGTTGGGCTCTCATCCCAGCGGGTGGGGCTGACAGCTGACCTCAGGCAGTGTGCGGCGGGGTGGGGGATCGAGAAATCGCGGCTCAAGTGGCTCATATATTCACAGCATCCAGTGGTCCAAACACCCGACCGAAAGGCAAAGTTTGCAAAGCCTGATCAACGTGGAGTTTGGAATTGCAGTCTGATTGTTTTCATCAAGTGAAACAAAGTGCAAAAGACAAGAAACCAATTTGGAAAGCCAACGGGAGGAGTCGATTCCATTCCTCTTTCTCCTTAGTTGGCTTTTTTGATTGGCATGGCCTTCTTTTATTATTTTTCGGTTTACTTTCATTTTAAGCAAAAGAAGAAGAAAACGCTCACAGATCAGATCTGCTCAAGTATACCTCCCCTCCCCCCCCCCCCGCCCCCTGTTTCGGCGGGGGGTTGCTGGTTTTCAGGGTTTCGCCTGGCGCCGGCGCGGCGGCCACGGGCTCGGGGCAGTAGCTGCCTGGAGCAGGGTGAGGTGTTGGGCGGGGTTGGGGGGGGGGGGGTTTGGGGGTGGGGTTTGGGGTGGGGTGGGGAATTCCAATCAATCGGGGATTGGTGGGGTTTGGTGGGGTTTGGTGGGGGGTGGGGGGGTGGGGTTTGGGGTGGGGGTTGATTGTATAGAATATGGTGGTAGATTTGTGAAGCCCTGTCCGCTCCCCCATTAAAGCCTTGTGGGGGGGTAACTCAGCTTGACTGCTGGCCACCCAACGCGAGTTCCATCGGACGATGCCAGTGACTTCTGACCTCATGGCTTGCAGACGCCCCTTTAAGTGGGCTGGTTTGGGGATGGGAGCCCCTTACAGACTGCTATTTGGAGAGTCATCTCAATGGGGTGGTTCCCTTTAAGCCACAATTTTGGTCCGGCAATGAATATTGACCCAGACAGGGTCGTTTTGCGACCGAGAAAGGCTTTCAAGGGAGTTGGGGCTTCATCGAATTAGATCCCAGCATCCCTGGGGTCCCGTCGAGGTTTTGCGTTCCTCCCAGGAGCTGAAAATCACGCTCTCAAAGGGACTGCCTTTGGGCTTCGATCAAGCCCCCTTCCAATGAGTGTGTGTGTACGCGTAAGAACGATTGTTCCCTCGAAGAGGTCAAGGAGTTGCCTCCATGGCTCCCTTTTAAGTAACCTGGCCTTACTTAAGGGGTTCTCAAGATTGGGCTCCATCCCCCACCACCCCACCCCACCCACCCCCCAAAAACCCACCCCCCCCCACACCCCACCAAACCCCACCAAACCCCACCCCACCCCACCGACACCCCCAGCCAACACCCCACCTTGACACCCAACCCCCCCCCCCCCGCCCCCCCCTTACCCCCAACCCCCACCCCACCCGATTGATTCGGCTCCATCCCCCACCCCCTCCCCCACCACAACGCTACACCAGAATCTACCACCAAAACTACCCATACCCCATATCCACTTCCAGATGCAATTACTGTACAAAGGTCAAGGGATCTATGCGAAGCTTGCACAGACCGTGAATGGCTCTCAAGGCCTCAAAGCCCCCTGGCCAAATGACTGTGCCCCCAGTCTCCTGTGGCAGTGGGAGCCAGTTGCCGGGCCCCTCCCACAGCTAGCCAACATAGACTCGCGGGACACCATCCCCAGCCCCCTGCAAGGGCCAGTTGCGGGCCTCCCCTGCAGCTAGACGACACAGGCTCGCGGGACAAGGAAAGGAGAGGATCAGCCGGCGGCTCCCAGGAACTCCGCCTCACCTCCCGGCACCCAGAGCGGCCCCCGGTCCGGGTCACCCGCCGGCAAGAGCAGGCGACGGACAACTGCGCGCGCATTTTCCCGGTGAAGGGAGGTAGACAAGCGCTGCAACAATTGCTCCGCCACCCGCCCGGGCGGCTCCCCGTCCGCGGTCCCAGGCCTTGGTCCCCAAGCCCCTCCATGAGCTTCAACGACCAAGGGCAGGAACTGCATGCCGCTGTTGCGGCACAGCTCCTCCGTCCCAAGGTAAGCCCGCTTGCGGTCTTCGTAGCTGCCCGCCAGGGAGGTGCCCCCGGCCGCAGTAGCATGCAACTCGCTCGCCTGCATGCCCGATGTGACTGCAAAGTCCCAACACACCGGGCCACCGTCACCACCCCGCGGGAGGAAGATGTCAGCAGGGCGCCGGCGGCCTTGCGCCGCCTCCTCCACGATGCTGTCGCAAAGGAGGCGCCCGGGAAGAAGACCGGCCTTCTCTTTCTCAGGCCGGCACCCCGCCCGGCGGGCCACGCCATACACTAAATCCCGCATGGCATTGTGCCGCAGCGTCCTGTCGCCCTTGCAGGCACACACCAGCGCATGATCGCCCCACAGGTCCATGGTCCGACCGCAGGCCACGCAAGGGCCATCTTGTTCCTGCACTGGGAGGCGAAGGCGGCGCAGCAGGGCCACTCGGAACAGCTCAGGGCCAAAGCGGGTGGCCGGGTCAGTGGTTGGCGAAGCATGCAGCCACGCACCAGCACCCTCGCTGGCCACCAACCGCAGGTGCGCCTTTAAGGCGGCAGGAGCAGCCTCTGCCTCCGCATCAAAGCACGCCCGGCCCAAGCAGCGGGACAGGGTCTGCTGCCGGGGCCGCTCCTCAAGGCACGCGCGCCGCGGGCAGCAACTTGGTGTTGAGGTCGGACACTGCCTGAGGGAGATGCGCGTGGGCCCGCAGCGGCCCAACCAGCGTCCACCAGGCCCGCCAAGTCCGACGCCCCCAGGACGGAGGCCAAGCAGGCTGCCTCCGCATGACGGGCCGCACTGCGGAGCCCAAGGCCGCCGTGCAGGACGCCCGTTGCCCGGGACCAGGCGTCATCATCCAGCGTGATGCCGGTGCAGTCCAAAAGCCTGCCAGGCCGTCACGTGGTGGCGCGGCGGCACCACGCGCGTGCTGTAGGCGACCTTGCAAAAACTGGAGCAATGGCACAGCAGGTGGAGAGCGACCTGGGGATCCTCCAAGGTGTTCAGCTTGCCCAGCAGCGGTGCGGCCCCGGCATGACGACACTCCAGGTGGCGCGCACAGAAGGGAGCATCGCCAATTGGCGCCCCCAAAACCTCGCAGTTGCCATCACCCTTCCACTGGACGCGGGGGAACAATGGCGGCACTGCCCGGGCTGCAGGGCCGTTCAACGCCGCAGGCACCGCCTCGCACTTGGAGGCGTTGATGCGCAGACCGATGGCCGCGAGCTCAACCTCCAAGAAGCGGCAAGCCTGGGCGACCACGGGGGCGGGGCCAGCCAAGGTCGCATCATCCAAGTAGAAGACGGCAAAGTCAAGGGCACCCGCTCCCATTGTTCGCAAGCGCTGAAAAGCCTTCTCCACCGCGGCGTCCAAGGCCAAGGAAAAGAAGAGGGTCCCCTTGCTGCACGCCACGCTGAGAAGGCACTGCGCGCCCAGCCAGCCAGAGGGAAGAAGGCACCCCGTACGTGAAGTCAGCCCACGGAGTCAGCGCAGGAACGGAAGCCCTGACGGCCGCCAGGACGGCCTGCCGGTCAACGGTGTTGAAGGCATTCTCCATGTCCAACTTGACCAACACGCGGTCGTCGTCGCCATGGTGGCGGGCAAACCACTGGCGCACGACGTGCACCACCGTCTCGGCTCCCGCCGGTGTGCCCACCTTCGCCTCGGCTGCCAAACATTTGCCCACAACCCGTCGCAGAGTTTCGCCCACGGCAATGGGCCGGTGCCCCCCTGCAGGCTTGGGCAAAGCAACCAGCGAGGCCCCAGACAGGAGCTGCCTTGCCTGTGGTGGAGCATGGCCTCGGCCCAGCTCCTGGGCCACCAGCGCCAACAGCCGGTAGAGCTCGTCCGTGTGACCGGGGGCCTGCGCATCCACCAGGTGCTGCGGCTTCAGTCCGGAAGGCCCGCCAGCGGAGCCCTTGGGGAAGGAGCGCACCGCCTGCTTGACCATCGTCGGGTTGATGGAAGGGGCAGCTGCCCCGTGCACGGCCCGAAGGGCCCCCCAGTCCAACGCTGTGGTGGGCGGGGTGTTTGGCCAGCATCTCCCTCATCACCTCATCAGTGACCTGAGCACGCCGGGGCCAGGAAACGCGGCCCTGATGCCACAGGGTCGCTCGTTGACCTTCCAGCCAGCTGCGGCACAGCTCCTTGGTGCTTGTTTTATGGCGCCCTGCGCCCCCACGCGCCTGGGTGCGGAGAACCGCCTTGGGCAACATGAAGAACTCCGTCCAAGCCCGCTCATCATTGTGCCGGATAATCTCGGACAGCGCGAGGAGAAGGCATTGCGACCACAAAGGGCGTGCTTCCGGGGGGACAGCCGTCTTGGTGGGGACCTGCTTAGTGAAGCACTCTTCCATGGAAGGGCATCCAGGCTCAAGCGGGCGACCGCCGGCTGCTGGAGGCGCGTCACGCTGCAGTTCTGGGCGGCAACGTGGGCAGGCCTCGCCAAATCGGCGGGCCAGCAGGCGGTGGCAGACTCGGCACTGGGACAACCGCTGCTGCTGCAAGTATGACTCCGGCACGGCCCCCGCCAAGCGGCCGGAACAGTGCTCGTTGAGATGGCACCGCATGCTGGTGTGCGACGTCCACCCTTGCGCCGTGGCAGCAGCCTCTGGGCATCCAGGCACGGGGCAGCGGAGCCGCGGCGGCCCGGGCAATGGCGCAGGCGACCCCCCGCCTGCCCTGGCGGGGGAACGCTCCCGCGCTGGACGGGGCGCTTCCACTTCCATGGGTGCAGGGCGCTCTCCTCCCACCGGGGTGCCCGGGGCAGCGGCCCGCCTCTCCCACCCTCATCCCTCGCCAAGGCCACCCAGCCCACCGGCCCAGCCGCTGAAGCCTGTGGGGGATCCGGCGAAGGTGCCGCCGCCGCCGCCGTCTAGCTCGGGGTACCCATGGGCGCAGGCGAGCAGCGGCAGCCCCGCCCCAGCTCCTGTTCAGCACGTTGGTGAGGCAGCGCCGCTGCAGCCTGCCGATCCGCACGGGGCCAGCCGGGGGCGGATAGCTCCACTTAAGCGGAGCACCCACCCGCACCACATCCGGCACGCACGCCGCGCTGCAGCACCATACCCACCACAGGCCGAAAAAGCGTGCCATGGCGGGAGCATGTGAGCTATGACTACAAGTACCCTAGATTCGCTTGAGCCAAAACTACCCAAGGTTTCGCCGAATCTAACACCATGTTTCCCCAAATCTAGGACATCATTTTACGAAATCTACCCTCCCCCACCCACTGTTGACCCCCTTCCAAGGAGCCTTCAGGCGTTGGAGCTCGGGCCGCACCGAAGCCTGCAGACAGGCCTAGCGGATGATGCCATCCCACCATGGCTGTGTCTCTGGAGTTGGAAACGATGCACTGAGGGGATCAAAGCTGGGTGATTTGTATATGTGAGACAGAAATGGGAGGGGTGGGCTGCCTGGACTGCAATACCGCGGACCTTGTCGAGAAGAAAAGGGCCTAGGGTTCTTGGGAGGGTTCCGCAAAAGTGATCTCCGAAGGGTTCCTCCGAAGCTGTGGCGCACACTTAACAAGAGTCAAAGCGGTTCCGCAAGACCGTTGGTCGAAGTTCCGAATCACTTCCTGAAATCACGCACGGTTTTTCTCTAACTCACAAAAAAAACATGTCGGGGTGTGTTGCGCTCCAAAGTGATTCAGATCCCCTCTAAAATGGAGGAGCACCCCCAACAAACGGGGCTCGTCTGACCCCGCTCCTTGAGCTCCTTGTAATCAACTAGCCGAGGCAGCTTCTATCAAAACATCCGCCATTGCCATCGACTGGGTCAACATTCGCTTTTAGCATAGGAACACACAGTGGTTGGCCCAGGCTTCTGGGTTGCCTCCTGATATAGATCCATCAACTAAGGCAGCTTTTAGGGCCATGAAAGCTGGGAGCCGGTTTTGCAGCTAGCTCAACCCCGCTCTTCACCCGCTTCACCCCGTCAAGACAAACAAAGAGATGAGTCTGTACCTTGCTCAACCCGCCCCGCCAATTCAAGAAAACCAAGCAGGAGACGGCCACACCAAAATCGATGCCCCAACAAAGTCTCCATTGAAACCTGGTTAGGCCAAAACGCAGCACCCCCACCCACCCGTTCGCCCGCCCCACCTGCCCACCCACCCACCGACCCCCCAACCCACCCTCCGCTCCCTCCCCCCGCAAGTCTGGACCTTCCCGGGGCAGCGAGAGGCAGCCGCAGCCTGCGATTGAGGGCCATGCTGCGAACTAGGGCTGAAATATGGATGTGAATTTAACCAGGCGCCGTGTGGTGGACACCATTTAGGTATGTCCACCAACCACATTTGAGGTGGTTCCTTATTGAAATTCATGACCATATTTCCAGGTGACTCTTCCCCGGCGGAGGGAGGAGTTTTAAGCTTTTGGCCAGAAACTCGCTGATCCTCCATTCCTCTATACCTGTTGCCTGTTGCTTGTTCAAGAAGGCCACCAAGCTGTCTCTGAGCGGCTGAAAATTATTCATGTCCCGCTAAAGTGAAAGGATTCCGCCCAAACACTTGGCATGTGCCTGAACCGATTTGCTCATGTGCGATCTGCTGGTGTGTGACAAAGCAGCCCTCTGACAGCCAACCAACTTGGTGTTGCTTCAAAGAGAACCCTCAGGAAGCCTTTGCCATTTTAGGGTCCCCTATCGTTGGCCAGACCCCCAAGCAAGCCGAACATCGCGCTCAACGCCAGACATGTCTCAGTCCATGCTTGAAATTGGACCCTTTCTGTGATACCAAAGTAAAACATCCACGTGACGTTCAAACTTTGTGACTTGCAACGGGAATTGGTCAAGGTATCACAGAAAACTGTCCACAAGCTGACCCTCAAGCTGTAATGTTGACATGACCCCGGATCAATCAACCTCGGGGGTTTGTTTGCCCCCCCCCCGCCGCAAACAACAGGACCCCTCGTAAATGGGACACTCGCTCATGGATCCTCATCTCGGGTCGACATTCTCGCAGAAACCTCCAACCCAATTGTCCGCAAGATGTGTCAAAATAGGTCTACCTCAAACATTGTAGCCGCTTTTTTTCCAGTTGGGTTCCCTTGCAAAGCAACCCAAGAAGGGAACACTCAATCAAAGAAAGACACACCCTTGTCTCAGTCTGCCAAGCCCTTGGTCCCGCCTGGAGCTTCCCTCAAGGGTGCGGCAGCTTCTACGCGAGGCGCTAACGGAGCTCCTAAGGACCGATCTTTTGTTTGCAGGGAAGCCAGCAGGACACACTCATGTTGAGGACCCCTCCTCCATGCGGAGACAACCCCAACTGAACTTCAGTCAAAGGGCTGGCAAGAAGATTCCTCCGCGCTACGGAAATAGGGGGACCCCGAAATGGTGGCTTTCCTCTTGAGTTCCTTTCAAATGTTCAAACCCACCCTGAAAAGGGGACCCACCTGGGCCCTTGGGCCATTGGGCCCCGAATTTCGGTCTGAAGAGGTGAAAGTAAGCTCCGGTATCCTCGAAGGCACCACTTCTGGTTGGTGTCTTGTTGATTTAAGCCCAGAAGGGTTGCCAGCCGGGTCGCCTTTAAAGGTGAACCCAAAAAAAGAGGTTGCTGAAACAATAGTCAATAGTGGCTGAAACAATGCTGAATCAACTGGCCAAACCCTGGTGGAAACTGAAGTTGGGATGCGTTTCCCTCCTGGTGCCCCTTCATTCTGAAGGACGGGGGGCAAAGGTTCCAAGCAAAACTCCTAGAGGTAACGGAATCAGTCTGGAGCAAGTGTCTTCGGCAGAGGCTCGCCAAAGTGGCGATTTGTTGCTCTAAACCCCTTCGCAAGGAGGCATCGACTGTCCATGATTTCGGATCGCGCCTTTCGTGCGCCACCCCCTCCCCCTTTCTGAGATAGGTGGCTCGTTTTGGGGAGGTCGGAGTTGTTTTTATTGTTCCTGACTTCGCTCTGCTTAAAGGAGTGCATCGGCCAGCCAGGCCAAACAGGAAAACAGTGCCCAGGGCCCTGGTTGATTATAAGCCTTACTTAAGATGTGAGCCTTCGCGCGCCAGCCCCCGTTCTGGGGTAAATGCGCGTCTCTGTGTGTGCGCGCGAGCGAGAATCGAGCACAGCACCGTTAGGGAATGACTCGAGGGATTCCGTTGGGCGATCGTCGCAAGTTGTGACGTGCCCTGGCCATTGTTGAAGAATCCGTTGGTTTGACCAAGAATTTGAGACCCCGGGCATCCCAAACACCTCGCCGCAAACAATGCTGCTTGGTTACGGATGTCAGCGCCACATCAAACCAAAAACATCTTATCCCAAAAGCCGCCGAAGCTTGTTAAGCCACCCACTCATTCAGCAACAAGTATTCTGCTGGCAAAGCCTTACGCCATCTTTGTCGACCGTTTCTCAACGGCCCTTCAAATCCACAGAGATCTCGAGGGAGGGCCAGACTCAAGATAGTCAGAGTCACAGCTTCTTTTGTGGGCAGTGGGTTCCGTTGCTCAAGACGGTTTCCGCTAAGCAGGGCCCGTTGCCCAAAACAGTCCCCGCTAAGAAACTCAGTTTTGCCATGGGCGGCCATGGGGCTTGCAGCTAGATTTACTGTGGTTTGGTCCTTTCGGGCTGCGGGCGATACAGTGACCCGTCAGGTCAAAGCATGACTGTAAGAATTTGCTAAGAGTTTCAGTGTCACCAGCTCCATCCTTCATATCTTTCCCTTCTCTTCTCATTACACCAAAAAGTCTCACCTGATTAGGGATGAGACAGGCAATCCCATTGGGCCCAAAAACATGCTTCGTCAGGGAAGCATGGAAGCCCCACGCCGAGCCCGAATTGGGCCCCAGCTCGCAAGCACCTGCTTCATCCTCGCGGCCTCGGGTTTCGCACCGTAAATTCTGGGGAGGTGAGACTTGTTGACCCCGGATTAACCAACCTGGAGGATTGTACACAATTCCCCTACAAAATGCAGAATTCCCTCTAATGTGGCATCCCTTGTTATTCAACCGGGAGGGGGGAATATTTAGTTCCCAGTACAGTGGATAGCAAAATCCAAGCATAAGACCGTGGCGAATTGCGGCTATGGCGTTCCCCTCTTCCTCTGCTTCCAATATTTGTGCCACTGGAGTTTCCGTGCCGAAACAAAATCAAATCTTTGAACGAAGCAATACCAACCTGGACATGGGGTATAGGGTATATAAGCACAGCGTAGAACACCAAGTTTGCACATCAGAGTCTTGTATGTGCTCCCAGCTGAGCATGGAACCCAAGAAAGCCATCCAGAGAGGAATCTCCTCGTTGGGGCCCCCTTCTTGGGGTTGCCAATTTGCAGGAGTAAGCTTGAGGCCACTGTATCAAAGCGTCCGGTGTGAATGAACAAGGGCAGCACCAATTTCTGGCTAGGATATTTGGGAAGGGGGCGGTTCCTTTCGGTTTCCGTCTCAAGCCCCAAAAATGGGTACCTCAAGAAAACCACACATGCCAACCTGGGGCCAAAACATTTGGCCCCGTTCTTCCTGGCTAGATGTGAACAGCTCCTTCACACCCATTTCGCCTGCGACCCTTGCCTCTTGCGCGATGGTCCCCAGTCTCTCGGAGGTCTGCTCCTGTCACGTGTCATATCGGGGGGGGGCCGGCCCGGAACTGGCATGCAAATCAATCAAACGGGAAACATAGAAACACCGCTGCAGATGCTCGCAAGATGAAAATATGTCTCCTTTTGCCCTTTCGAAAATGCGACCCATTGCCCCGAGGCCTGCAGAGATACTCTGCTCTCTGCCCCCTTTTCCCCAAGTTCATTCTTGGAAGATGCTTGAACCCTCCGGATTAACGGGATTTGTTTGGTGTTCGTACTTTAATTTGAAGTAGTGTTCAGGGTACACATGCCCAAAGCTCTGTTCTCAGGTGTTTTCCAATACGACTGCAGTTGGGGTCAGCAGGCAATTTGTTGGTTGAGTATAGGTTTGAGTATAGGTCCAGTATTGCCGTTTTTTCACTTTGTGTTGCACATTCTGCACAAATACAAATTTCTCAATAGGGGCCCCCAACAATGATGGCACCCCAGTTCAAGCAAAAGATTGGGGTACAGAATCGCCTGGGGGCGATTCTGTAACTTCCCTTGACTCCATCATGAAAGTGAGATGGGATTTCCCATTGTATCACTTGAAAGGGAATTCTCCCAAGGTACTGCCCCTTCGCACCGGTGGGCGGCTCACCGTCTTTCTCGGGTTTCAAAATATGGCAACCTGACCCCCAGATTCGCGAAACACCCGGGCGACCGATGTATCGACTGTCTCCTTGGCTGTACCGAAGCTATTTGGGACACCCATGGTATTGGTTGGGAGCCGTTTCCAGCCCGAAACTCGCCATCCGCGGTCCGAGGCCCGTAAAAAAACACGACGAAGACACGGGGCGCACGGGCAATCAGCTTCTGATTTCGCCCTACGCGATTTGGAGCGGCAGGTGTAGCTTTCCAGTTCAACCAGCGGTTCGAATCCCCAAAAGGCACCCCCAGTCACTGAAGGCGCAGAAGGCGACGATACAGGGGGAAACAACTCCTTGACACTTCCCAAAGTTCTGAAAGGACGAGCACAGTGGCTTTTTGCTTGTATTCTACCCCATTGAACCCTTAGTGGAAACCATGTTAGATCATTCAAACTGCCCAGGTTTGTCGAGAAGCAAATGGAACAACTAAGCTAATTTGGTTTATGTCAAACAAGTTGGCGCGGTGTATATTTTGAGGGTACCTTTTTTAGGTCGTTTTACAGAGGATCGAAGCGAACACCACCCATCTTGTTGGTCCCCTATTTGTACAAACCCATTTAGACCTCGATCGGCAACAGGCAACATGAAGAGCGGAAAAGGCCACTGGATAGAGAACTGCGATATGCGGAAACTCACAATGAGTCTCAACGAAAACCCGGTGGTATATTGAAGGAAATTACACAAAAACGCATGGGCAAGAATTAACAGGGCAAAAACCTATTGGGATGAGTCAAAATAGGGGACCCCCCAAAAAGTGTTGGGTTTCCTTTCTATTCCCTTTAACCACACCTTTACAAGGTACCAACTCAAAAACACACACCCATTGGCCAGGGGACTGTCCCCTTCTGCCCATGTTTTGATTCCCTGGGTTTCGGGTGCTTTTCCGGAAATCCAGAGGGACCCATCAAAACGGGGAAAGGGTTTCCTGCTTGAACATGCAGTTGGACAGATTTCCGTTGGACCCTTAGGAACTTGTTGCAACATGGTCCAGGCCCAAACACCTGTGCGGAAAATCCGTGGCTTGGATTGTTGCAATCAGAGGGAAGCTGAGAAGCTCCGGACAGCGAGTTGGAACGTCGACCAGCCCGAAGCGAAACCTTGAGCTCTGGCGGCATCTGCCGCAGGTTGTAGACCCTGGCTGTGGCGCACCCGGGTCCGGGAACCAGGATGCTTAAACACTAGATGCTGAACTGCGGGAAGATTCAGGCTGTCCGGAAAGCATCAACATGCCCATCCGCTGTTGGCTTCTGCCAAGATTCAACATGTGGGTCAACAAGCTGAAGGGAGCTAGAGGCACGGCGAAGGGAAGGTCCATCAGTTGGATTCCCTCCCCCTGACACAGTTGCAGGTCAGGGACATGCCCCTCGCCTGCCAGTGCCACACTTCCCTAAAACTGCCTTATATATGTCCCCTTAGCAAAGTCCATGTTTGATATTCAGCGGCCCAAAAAGCAAAGTGCGAAAACACTCAAAGCAGGGAAGCATCCCTTGAGGTTGCTTTGAAGAACATATCCATGATGTTAGGGGGGTCTATATCCCCGTTGCAAACGAAATGTCTGGTTCCGCACTCACATTGACTTTGAGCTTCTGCTTCACGCTTCAGCCCGAACTATGTAACATAGTTTTGGAGGCCCAGTGAGCATACCAGCCCTAACATACCTAGTTTCGGAGGAGACCCCAATGAGCATGCCATCGGAGTGGGTCCACCTCGAACGTCGAAGGTTCGGGCGCACGCCTGAAGTAGGGCCGCGGATGCTGCAGCGCGCGCAGGAAGTCCGCTGGCGCCACCAGAATGCCGTCCTGAGACTTCCGTCGGCCGTCGGACGAATGCCGTCCCGAGGCTCGGCGGCCACGGAGTCATGGTCATGGTTCCCTTTAGGAAGCTGTAGTTGCCCAAAACCACTGAGAAGTTGTGCCAACTGCAAGTAAAGGGGTCTTGTACCCATGAGCATCACAAAAGCATCTCTCGCAACCATGGCCTTAAGGTTGAAAACACTGCGAGATCTCCATCAAAAAACTCCATTTCCCTATGGGTCATGCTCACCCCAGTATATCAAGAGTTCATAACCCCAAGCCGGGTATTGACTCTGGCCGCCACCAACGGTTTTGTGGTTGGGTCGACGTCTTTGGAGGTGCCCTGACAGGGTTGGCACATAGCCCTGACAACTTCATGATATAGGATAACAAAAACAATTGTCGGACTAACACATCTCAATACGCAGTTGGTCATCAAAGTGTGGAAACAAATGGGATCAACATGCCGCTCGCCAGATGAGATCGACATGATTTCAAAAGGTGGTTGCCTTTTGGTTTCCTTTAGAACCAAGGCGGGGCTCTGGACGCCATCCAGAACTTGCAATGAAGAAGACAAGAAACAGATCCCCGTTCCCCTAGTGGAAAGGGGGAACCCTCTTTTGGTGGTGACCATGTTTGGACTTTGACCATTTTTGGTTTGCTGACCCATTTTGTGTGGAGCAACCCCCAAGCAATTTGGGGAAAACGTGCGGGGAAACCCTGCGCCTCGTCCATCACAGCCTGGTCTTCAAAGCCGACTTCGAAGTAGTGGTTGATGTTCTGCCCGAGATGGATGCAACGGTTTTACTCCGCCCCCCGCGAAAATTTGCGGTTTGGAGCCGGTGATTTGGTGGTTTGGGGCGGTTTCCGACCTGCACTCTACAAGCAGCAGCAGTTCAAATCCTCAAAATCCAAACCACCAATTCAGGTTAGCTGAGGAATATGTAAATTCTAGGCAGCTCAGAGTCACTGCACCCTAGTGGTTTGATCGATGGAATTTGTGGCCCCGAAACAAGCTCTGGGTATGTGTCAACATAGGGGACCCCTCCCCCCAGAAAAGAAAACGGTGGTTTTAAACCAACCTTTAAAACGGCCCCCTCAAAACATACAAACGCAACACACACCCTTCTTTTGAACCCCTGAAGCAAATCGGGGTGTGGCATGAACCCAAGGTCCTCCATACCAAGCCCCACCCTAAGGGGGAACCAGTCGAATCCCCGAACGGATTTTTGCCGCCTGGACTCGAACACAAGGTGCCTCCAAAAGGGCCTCGTGTTTGAATCAGTCAGTTGGATCTCTCTTTTTACACGCCCAGTTCGTTAAGTTGGGGCTACCCATTGGTTTCAACATGTTTAAACCACTGGTTCCGACGACGATTTCTTGTGAAGGTGGTGTTTAAACCATATTTTGCCCCACCCTGCAGTTTGTTTTGCGATGGAAAAAGCTTGTTTCCTGAATCGTGTCTAAATCACATCCGGGGATGAAAAAAGGGATGTGGAAAGGGTTCCGGGAGTGTCCAGAGAAAAGGCATGCCAAGCTGAGGGTGAATGTGCCAGTGCTGGGTTGGATTTGCATCAAGAATCACGCAGGCCATGGGCTGTGTGCCCAGAATATGTATATATATATATATATCTGTACATATGTGGTAGCTAAAAGGGAAACAACCCCAGTTTCTGAAGTTGATACCCCAAAATACGGAAATCAAGAGCTCAGCCTGAGTTCCACTGTGCTTCAAACGGGTTGTGACGAAGCGCCTCGGGAAGCTGTCACCGAAGCAACCTGAAATCAAGGCGGGCTACGTTGCTTCCCATGTAAACACCTCCATTTGCATAAGTCCCCTGGACAAAACATACGTATGTCCAGTAGACACTATTCCCTTCAAAACCAACACTGAAAATACCAATAATTAACCTTCTTGGGCAAGTCTAGCTGCAATCGGCCCAAAAGACGACGTTTGAAACCACCGAAACGGGCAAATCTGGTTGAACCATTGAGCCCCGACCTGTGCAAAAAGAAAAAACATGGACCACTTGAGAGGGTCGTCCCAAACCCCCCCCCCCAACCCCCCTCCCAAACCCCACCCTAAACCCAACCCCCCCCCAAACCCCCCCAACCCCCCCCAAAACCCCCGCGCCACGGCCTCCTTCAGTGTGCTTGCAAACTCCTCAGAGTGGATGAGCGAGCCCATGTCGTCCAGGTTGAACCAGTCGTAGGGCTGCCCCTTCCGACCCGAGCGCATCGGCTTCGGTTAAGCGCTGCCGCTCTTTGGGTTTGGTCCCACAGCAACTTTGACGCAAAAAAAAGCACACCCCCAGAAGTGTCGCTTTTCTGGCGCCTTTGTCAACAACATGTTGAGCAAGTACGGGTTTCTTACGGTCGTATTCGCAAATGACGGGAAAAAAAAGGTCATACAGGCAAATATCGCCAAATCCGGGGGGGGGGTGGGGGGTGGGGGTGGGGTTGACCGGAAAAGAAACCAAAAGCCATACAGGGTGCCAGGCACAAAAAAGCCGCGCAAGCCAAGCTGACGTGAAAAAACCTTTCATGAATCATCTGGCTTGTTCAAGAGAAACACATTGGCCTGAAGTTAGGGTTCCTATATCCATGTTGAAACACTACCCCAAAGGCAGCTGAACCTTGTTGGATTCAAAAGACCGTTGGAAGAGCCGAAGTCTTGACACCTGCCCACAGGAATCCGTGAAAACCGTTTGGGGTTGGACCTTGAAACAAGTGTGACCTCCCGATCTAGCAATTGCCCGGACATGGGGAAAAACAGTCGTTTACTTGTCTCGGTGCTTGGTAACTTATTAGGTAACTGTAGTATTGCCAACTACTGGCACTGGGTGTGTTGCTTCACTTGAATCCCTCCCACAAGGTCACGGACCATGGGCAGCTGTCATTTATTGTTGATTGGCTTCAAAAACTCAAGATCTACTCCTTCGCAATAGCCCCCAAAAGGTTAGCTATATTTTGTTTCAGGGGACCCCTCCCCCCAAATGGTTCTTTTCCTTCCCTTCAAAGCCAACCAAAGAGGGTTCCCCAAAAACGACACGCCCATGGTGCCCTACGCATCTATGGGCCTTGTACTCCACCCGCAGCATCCTTCCACTCGGGTTCGGAGAAGGCATGGTCAAGGACGGGGACGCGTCACTGGCAAATGCGCGAGGGAGTCTTTGACAAACCGAAGGAGCCCAAACCCGTGGGCCGTTTTCTGTTGTTTACATAAATCGTAGGGGCACCCATACAAAAGGGTCGGTAGTTGCTCGGCTTTCCCCTTCAAGCATGCCGTCCAAGAAGAGGAGGGTGCCCTAGTTGGGAAACACCCAACCTGACGCCATCGAAATGATTTGTTAAAGAGTTTAATATGTATATATATATATATACAGGTCAAACGCACCAAACCAGGGTTTATGGGGGGGGGTACATATATATATATATATGTATTGCATAATATTATATATATATATATTACGTAATAATATTAATATATTATAGGTCTGCCCCTTGCCGAAATGGCCAAAGGGAAAGTTGGCGTGAGGTGTCCTAAGAAACTGCTGGGAAGCACGCGACAACCAACCATGAGGCTACATGTACCACATGTCTGCACGGCCTTACCCCAAGTTGGTTCTTATGCGCGCTTGCTGTGTGATCACCCTCTGATCAGCGCCGCCCCCAGCTCAAAACGGCAATCCTTCTCTCTCTGTGTCAAAAGCATCTAAGGATGAACTGGCTTAAGTAGGTTTCAAGGTTCCCTATGACATCAGGCCCCCAGACTTGACATAGTTGCCTATCAAGAGTGGCAGATCTACCCCTTTTCTATGAGTTTCACGGGGACATTCCACTTCGGCACAACCCCCCTACGGTCAACATGTGCGCTTGCTGTGTGGTTGAATATTGGCAAGTCCTGGTTTAGTGAGCGCGCTAAACATGTCCCAAAGTGCCAGTTGACCACCTGAATACGTTATAAAAGTAGATCCCTTCAAGGATCCTCATGGCTGGTGAGTCCAGCATCGCCCGAATGCTTCCCATCCACCAGTGCAAGACCTAAAAAGCAGGAACTGCTCCACTCGTTGGGTTTTCCCTGCCGTGTCGGACTTCTGCTGCAAGACATGCACAACGCATCCTGAGAGAACCCAACAAAATGAGCAAAGCACAAAGATCACACGACTACAAAGCATGCGATCTGGAGATCGCCAGACCCGAACCCTTTGCTTGGGCCGATTTTAGGGGGGGACCCCAAACCAAAAGGCAAAACGGGTGCTGAGCAATTCAGAGAACCGAGCAAAACACCGATGGAATTCATGTGTCTTCAACCAAACTGACCTGAGGACACCCATTTCTTTCGCCATCTTCAAGCAACCAATTCCGGGGGGAACCGTCCTTCACATCGAGGTGGGTGCTCGAGATATCACTACAATGGTTGCCACCAAATCCCCAGCGTCCATCATCAAAAGGGCACGTTTTCTGGATGTGAACAAAAAAAATGCAGCTCAGGGGTCAAACTATGCTTTCGGGATATGAGACAAATTTGTGCAGGACATTCGAGAAGAAAGAGTAACATTCCTGGTTCTTGCGGTTGAAAGAGCTCGTTTTCCGCGTCCCGAACCTCAGATGTATGTTGTCCAAACGCGGCACCGTCTGCAACCCCCGCAAGCCCAAGCGCGCCTCTCACAAGCCATCGCCTCAGTCCAAAACTTGGTCCGTGTGACTCTTTTGTAGTGCAAAACGAGTTTTACAAAGGAACGAGCAAACCAAGGAACAAAGGAAGGAAGTAAGGACGGAGCAGGAAGGGATGGAGGAGGGGAGGGAGGGAAAAAGGGAGGGAGGGGAGGGAGGAAGAAAGGAAGGAAGGAGTGAATGATCGAATAACCACACACAAGGAATGCAAAGGAAAAGTGAATGAACAGGTGAAACAATACAGTACATATACCAATGGAAAGATAGAGCAAACAACATGAAGCTATCACAGAAAAACATTTATACATACAGACAAAATAAAGACAGAAAAAAAGAGAAATCAATAAATGATGAACGCGAGAAAGATACATACACGATTACACAGACATAGGCCCAAATATACATGTACATGTACATACGCAAACCTCTGGCTGAATTGTAATCCAGCTTGCAAGGAAGGATCCAAGAACCACCCGAGCTCACAAACTCTCAATGTATGTATTCATAAACTTATATGTTGCGTGTGTACACGTCTGTATGCACACAGCGCCCACAGCCCATTGTGGACGTTTGCTTTTATCAGCACGTGTGTGGAGTTTTTCTTTGTTTGCCGTTCATGAAGCCAGGCAGAACCACGATTGTCACAACGATTTGGTGCATCGCCAATTGATCGTGCCATAAATTTCCTTGTTTTCAGTAGGGAATGAGTTGGAATGTCCCCCGAGAACAAAAAAACACAAACACTCTCTCTGTGCTTGTATTGTAGTTTCATGTGAGGAGTCCTTGAAGTTCATGCCCAAAACCGCAACATCTCCTGAGTCTCTGTCAAAACCTACCAGGGGAAAAAACCCTCATGTACAGAAGGGTGGACCTCACTTCTGGCTACCGCCCTCGCTCCGTGATCCCAGTGCGTCAAACCCCTCGTCAACCAGGGCCATCTACTTGTACCCAAACAAGCAACGAGGACACCCATGTCTATGACCAATCCCTGTCAACCCCAAGTAAAAGGATGTTTGGATCCTGGCACCTCTCCCATCAACAAAGGCCTTCAATTTGCCCAAGGGAAACTCGCCTTGAACATGTGACGTTCAACCCGACCAAAAATGGAACCAAAAAGGCACCCCTGTCCATACAAATCCCTTCAACAAGTCAACCCTCCCCCCCGCTCTCCCAGTCCCTGGCCTTGCTGAGCGACGGCAGCGACGGATGGAAGCTACATGGGCACGAACCTACATGAAGCTTGCGCGACCTCCGCACATCTTCCTTGCGGCTAAAATCTGCTCAATTCGTGCATTACGGTTGGCGTTGCCTTCTTGGCGGCGGGATGTTGTCTTCTCGCTGAGGCGCAAGTCGGTGGCCGTTCATTGAATTTTCTTGTAGGGCAATTCCAGGCTCCGCTGGTTTCAGGCCTGAGCCAATAAGCTTAAGGACACAAGCGCTGCGGGCCAAAGCGAGCTCGACCCCTTGCTTCGGTGTTCAACTGGACCCATTGTAGTAAGACATCCCCGAAATTACGCTCTAACAATGCGGTTGAAAGGGAAACCACCCTCAGCTGGTTCACTTGAATGGACCCAGCTCACCCACAACATCAACAAAGGAAAACCTCCGGATCCTGACACCAGCATGTCAAAGGAGACAACATGGAAGCATCTCAAAGGATACAACCGGCTTTGGCACATGGCCCGCGTGCGTGCAGTTTTGTCGAACTTCGGATGTGTTTAAGACATGGCCTGGCAATGCATGCCGAAGCCTTGCCGGGGTTGCTCCCTCAAAGACACCGCGCAGTACCGGATAGGCATTTATCGAGATGCACGTAAAGTTGTTCGATGCCCGTTATTCCGTTGCGAGGAAATTCATCAGCATACATGGAGTTGTTGTTTTTGTTTGCATAGTTGCCCATGTACCAGGGAACCCACAAAGGAGTCACAAAGCTTTCGGCGCGCAGTCTTGGGGGAGCTTCCCTGCATGGGTCGGTGCGTCGGTCGCTGCCCCTTTGGGGCCCGAGATCCGATGTTGCCACATGGCCCCTGCCTCTGGCCCGGAAGGGGAACTATTTGGAAAGAGCCATGCAGAGGCAGCCGCGCAGTCGCGACTGGAGTCCGCCCTCCCATCTCAAAAAATGATACCAGAAAGAAGAAGAACATGTCACAAATCCCAAAAAGTCCCAAACAAACTGATCCCAAAAAGGAGCAGTCGGAAAGTGCGAGTTGAGCATCTGGTCCGATTCCGGATTCGATCGAACGCCAAACCCGACCTGTCGGATCCCTCGTGGCGAAAAGAAAAAGCCGCGTCACAGGCCAGGTTTGGCACCTGCAAAACGCCGACCGTGTGAAGGCGACCGGGTGAAGGGCAAATTTGAGAAATGGAACAAGGCCAGGGTCCGCGACCACCACAAGCATCCACATCAGCGAGACCAGTGGAGAACTGAATGAAGGAAACCCAAAAGCGCAAAGGGCAAAGGGGTAACTTCAGTGGCCGAGACCGACCTTGAAGCTGCCGGCGGAGACCCTGTTCCTGGAGTCGAAGTAGCCCCGGCTCGGCACAAGCTGGGGGTTGGTGGCCGCATCGCCAGCATGCCCGGCATTTCCGGTTTCTTGTCACGGCTGCGTATGGGGCATGACTTGATGCTCGGGATAGCCGGCCGCATCGCCAGCATTACTGGCCTCACTCGGACGAGAGCTGCCTATTGGCTTTGGTTTGGTGGCAGTTCAGGGTTGATCGGGGCTGGTTTGGGGTGAGTGCTGGGCTTGCTGAGATATTAATGCGGGCGGGTCTTGGGTTTGTTTAGGGTTCATTTAGCCTCGGCAAAGGGCCGATATGCAGGATGCGGTTGGGAGGGTTTCAGGTTGACTTTGGGTCGATTTTGGCTTGGTTGGGGCTGATTCGTGCTAGATGTGCGGCTGGTTTAGGCGTGGCTTTCGGGTTGCTTCAGGGATGTGGTTCTGCAAGTTTTGGGCTAGGATTGGTGGTTTGGGGCAACGCCCCACAACCAATCCCAAACCAGCCCAAAACTTGCAGAACCACATCCCTGAAGCAACCCGAAAGCCACGCCTAAACCAGCCGCACATCTAGCACGAATCAGCCCCAACCAAGCCAAAACCGACCCAAAGTCAACCTGAAACCCTCCCAACCGCATCCTGCATATCGGCCCTTTGCCGAGGCTAAATGAACCCTAAACAAACCCAAGACCCGCCCGCATTAATATCTCAGCCCCGATCAACCCTGAACTGCCACCAAACCAAAGCCAATAGGCAGCTCTCGTCCGAGTGAGGCCAGTAATGCTGGCGATGCGGCCGGCTATCCCGAGCATCAAGTCATGCCCCATACGCAGCCGTGACAAGAAACCGGAAATGCCGGGCATGCTGGGGATGCGGCCGCCCAGCCAACCAACCAACCAACCAACCAACCAACCAACCAACCAACCAACCAACCAGTCTCCGAGCCGGGGTTAAGCCCCGAGCCGGGGCTAGTAAAAAAAAAACACCGGTTCCCCCAAAATCGCAACCTCCAAAAAAACAAATGGCATGCGCCATAATCATAACAGTGGGTGCAGAAGCTAAGTTGATTAAAGGTGATCTTGGAGTGGACACCCTCTGAAACAAAGGGCTGGACTTAAACAGAACCCCCCCCCCACCCTCAGCCGTCGGCCTCGAACGTAAGCAACCCCATCAAGTCGTTGCGCTCACACCTGGCCGGCCGACCGGACCAAAACCTCTCAGGTCGATGGTTTCCACTTCAACGTTGGAGCTCGTTTTGGTTCTTTGTGTCTAGGTCCTCCAGTAGAGAGGTTTCAATAAGGGCACCAACTTTTTCTGTAGTCTATGTTAATCGGGGAACCCTCCCCCACAAAAGGGCACTACTGGAGGACCTAGGTGTGTTTCAAGACGGGGTATAAACCAAATGCAGGGGCCATGCGGTGGCTGTACAGAACCTCGGGGGTCGTGGTTTTGAGGCAGGGGAAATCATCTTAGACAAGCGTAATCAGTACATGCTTTTGGGGAGCACTGGTTTCTCCAAACGTATTCTTTGGGAGTGATAGCTTGATTGATGGCCTGATCATCTGATCTGGTCTCATGTCCGCACATGCCATTGAATTCATCAACAAATCCGCACACTTCCGCAGCTTTTCACAACTCCCTTTGTGCAGGCTATTGATGAGTTCACCCCGAGTCTCTCATTCCCCCAATATTCCCTCAATATTCCCCTAGTATGTTCTTATTAATTCCCCGAATTGTTATTTGCAATTTGCATGCAAAATTCTTTCCAAAGTTGTTCTCAACTAAAACTTGAAGTGGAAGCTGAGTAGAATGTTATGATTAAGCAGGAGGCATTTATTTTGGACTAGTAGATGTGACATAACACGGACAGAGGTGACCGTGACCATTGTGACATACAATTGATGGGCGAGAGGCCTCAGCCCTGTCCTGACAAGTTGTGCGGGGCGGAACGCATGGATTGGGGGCAAACAAAGGTTGGCAGTTTGAAAGGAATATATTGTTGTATCCAGGTTGGAGCACGGCCCCAGTACGTAGTCATTTCCCTTGACATCTTCTTTTTGTTCTTGTTTAATATTGGCGCGAACTGGGAAAAGGTTGGCTCTGGGCACCCCTCCATTTTCTCGTTGCCCTTGTGCCCACAAGGGGAATTGTATGGGCCAAAGTTTTACCTCCTGCTTCCCATACTTTGATCAGGGAGGGATCCGTAAGCCAAGCCCACTGCGTCACATTCTCAGATGCCCAGTAACCATGGGAAAGAAGGGCATCCTTTGTTGGTTGGTTGACTTTAAAGGGGAACTCTTCCCAAAAAAGGTTGGAAAACAAACACTGGACAACTGGGCATTAAAATAATATGAGCCATTCTTTGTTGCCCACATTCTCGTAATTACGAGACACCAAGCATTGCGCGTTCCTCTGCTTCCCTTGACAACTTCACCGCTTCCTTTGGTTGCGCAGGTGCCTTCAAAGAGGTGGCCCTGTCCCAAGAGGGAAAGATCAGAAGTCTCAAGCAAACGAGCCCCCCGACTCGAACCGAGCCGCCGGCCGCCTTCAAATGAACTCCACGACCCTTTGGAAGCCTGAGTGGCAAAAATCGCGGATGCCCACGCTTCTCTTGCAAATTTTGGCGCCTCCCATCCGGGCTTTACAGCTTGCCAGCATCGCACTCTGAACAATGTACAGGACAGCCAGGTTTGTGAAAATCAGCTTGGCTGGCTGAGTAAAAAAAAAAAAACAGAAAGGCCATACGCCTCAGCTCCGACACAAGCGCTTGCTCTCTGCGCAGTTTCGGTTCTGACAGGACTTTGCAAGTCACCCCTTCCTGTTGAAACCACCACCCCCCCCCCCCCCCGAAAAAAAAAAAAAAAAAAAAAAAACGAAACTGGCTGGTGAACCTTCAGACTGGCTCATGTCCTCCCTGAAAGCCAAGTCCCGTGGGGCGATGTGGGTCCCCTTTGAAGCCAACAAGGAAATCTGAAGGAAGCCACTGTTTGAGGGGTCATGGTATTTTGACGCAGATCCATTCTTGCAACAGTCCAAACTCTGGACCTGTGGGTACTGGTCAGATAATGATTGCTTGACCATGGCGCATGTTTTCTTGCCAACTGGAACAGCTTACGTTGATAGCTGATGCCTGGCTCTTACCCGAGAAAATGCGCACCCCCTGATAGGGGATATTCATCAAGCGTCTTCGCCACCTAAATTCGATTTGCACTGGGAATCGAGAGCCATGGATTCATGGGCTGGGGGGGAGGGGGAGCCCAAAAAAGCCCAGCCCTCAAAAAGGCCTGAAACTTGAGCCCATCTTTTGCCCTCTCCCATAAGGCCTGAAATTTGGGGAAGGGGGAAAAAACAAATCCGGGCTCCCATCCCCTCCCCTCCCACAGCCCCCATGGCTCATGTCTCCCCGAGGTTCCCCGCTGGCATCGAGGCTGTTCTTGGTCGTCGAAGGCAGCAGCGCCGGCGCCGACAGGCTCTC